CACGGGCTGCTTCCTGGGGGTGGAGGCCTGGTCGAGGACCGGGCCGCGGGGACACTAAAAAATCCCCGAAATCATCTCAAGATAACCACCACAGGATACATCACCAACAACAAATCAGTATACTAATAATAAATAATACACCAAACAAGTACATAAATTTATTCATACATTTATTCATTCAAACAACAATACAGAAATATTCAAACACCAGTGTAATACACGGACAGGATATAACTCCATACACGCATACAGGGAACAACAATAAGGAAACACGGAAAAACTGAAATACAGAAATACAAAATATACAGAAACATACATAATGGACACTAACAAACGAAGGCCGTTACCACTCACCAAAATGAAAAAAAAAAAGTATAACAAGGCAATTAAAGGGAAGCCTTAAACCCTAAACATTCATTCACCCACAAACATTCACTTGTACCACAAACAAACAGTACAAAATAAGGGAACACGGTTCAAATGAAAGGTCAGACACAAAACCTGACTTAACAACATGAAATAGAAACAGATGCAGCTCAGCACACAAGACTTACTGAGAACAAGCGGCACAAGCAACGCAGGGAGACACCTCCGAACCACCTCGCTACATGTCGCTACAAGACACATACACACAGTAGGCCCATATAAACAGTAGGGGTCGACAAGCACAAAGGCAACAAATGAAAATACAATAAAACCACAATCAGCCAACACACAAACATTCCAACTATATAACAAACACTAAGGAACACACACAAGCACGCCCAAGCGGAGTCGCAGTTCCAGCCCACAAGCCATTTACACCTCCAGAAGGCGGGTAATTGTTCAACAGTTCTGGATCAACAAATCCAGATGAACTTATCCAGGCCGCGGCAGCCCCGACGGTACTGAATACTCACAACGCTGAATATCCGGAAGGGATGGAGGGGGGGTGGGGGGCAGTTAAGAATGGGAATCCCCTAGCGTAGGGGGCGACAGGCCCCTTGTTCAATACCATACGCAATGCACAGCCATCGTCACCAGGTGGAACAACCCCCCAGCGTGACCCAACCCCAGAGGGGGCACCCCCGAGCCGGTACCTTGGAGGGAGCAAGCACACCCCGGTCCGACGCCGCGACAAATAGTCTCAACCATCGCACCCCGCTCATCCACCAGCGGAGCCAGACCCGATGCTACTTGAACACGTCGTGGGGGACGCACACCATCCATTGGCAAGGGAGCAGGAGACCCCTCTCGAGACGAGGGAAAGACCTCACCAGATCCGCTCTCCAAAGCAGATAGGGACCCCACCTGGGAAGCTGCTTCCACCACCACAGCAATCAGCACACTGTGAATCTCTACTGGAACATTCGGCTGCACACACATTTGGCAGGCGTATCCTCAACCACACACACATCAGCGGGCCGGCGACCCTCAGAAGCACAGGGCGCTCCCCTGGCTCCCCGCATGCATCTGGGATACACACGCAGACAAGCACACCTTCCAGAAGGCTGGGAGATGGGACAACATCACCAGTCAACACGTCCTCAGAATCCCCTTGGTGAACGGAGGGCGGAAAATCATCTCTCAGAAGATGTTGACATGATCAACCGCCCCCACGGAGCAAGCCTCCGCCACGTGACCATGTTGGATGCATCTATAACAGGTATGGGTTTGACTTTTATACAGACAGCGGAGTATAAACCAAGAAACATCAGGGATAACAAGTCACTCCGCTCCAGGGACATTGTCACAGTCTGGGTGCCAGCAAGCATCCCCTGGCAGTGGCCAGCGAAGACCTTATTCCATCAAATGCTTTAGACTTTTCCAAACTGCCCAAACAACCAGGTCATTTCAAAAGGAGCACCACGCACCGCCACATACGTCAATATCACACTCAGACTGAACGGTGCCCGAGCCATCAGGCAGAGGGAAAGATCGCCCGGCCCTCACACCGACCGAGGAACTCCTGGAACACATCTGGAGGTATAAATTTCACTACCGCATGACAGTCTCGAAGCTGAACGCCCACTAAATCGGGTTGCTGGACACGCAGCACATCCATCAATGAAATTTCTAGCAAACTGTGCTTCACCGGTGAGGAAAACTCTAAACCAGCTGATGCAACCCTCTTCAAGGGAGACGAGGTAGGTCCTATGCAAGAAGGCTGACTCCGCGCAGGCAAAGCACCAAACCAGGCCGACCCAGCCCCACGACCTCCACCACCTTGGTTTGTACACCAACTGAGGAGCCGACAGTAAACACGTCCCTCTAGCGGCCAGCAGACCAATTCCAACTTGGGACTGGTGTCTAAATCGTATAATTTTCCAGTTTTGACTATGTATTTTCTGTACACTTATATTTTTTCTATATCTTGGTTTCTATTACTTCTAAATATATCATTGCCGGTGAAAAAGACAACAATGAAGAAAATTTGTTGGTAGTTTATCCTTATATGATTGTGTTTGTAACTTATAATTTGAGTTTCTTCATATGTTTACTGTTACTCTAGCAACGTTCGTCTACTTTGTATCCGTGTATGGCATATGGTCTCGTGTTCTCGTATGTTTTGGGAAGGTTCTATAGCTGAGTTGTAGTTACGTGGTTCACTGGCGGGTGAAGTGTGTGTCGGCTGCTCATGTTTTGTTTTGGTTTGTGTTGTATGGAGTGCACTTGAGTTGACTGTATTTATCATGTTTGTTGAATGATATCTCTGTTCACACCGAGTTTGTGTCATGTCTTAGTATTCCAGTTGCTGGAAGATTAATGTTCCTAATGCTGGTAAAGGTTGTTTGGGATGGGTATCGGGAATGTGTTTTGGTGTTTTACTGTTTTATTTGTACATATGTTATAATTTTTTCTTTTATTGGTAAAAATAAAAAGACTGTATCCACGTCACTAAAGTGAGTGCAACCATCACTCAAGATGTTGCACTAGTAAGTGCTAGAAACGATATCACTTCAAAATGAGTCCTTACGCTTTATCACTTAACACAACCACACACATCAGTATCTTGAAGCAACAATACACAAAGTCCAGTGTTTTCTATTCCATGTAAGTCTCGATGACAATGAAAAGTATTCACTCGATAACTGAGTATGTTCCGGTACTAACGTCGATGGGACGTTAGTACTGGAACAAGAATATGGGATGAAAAGAAATGTCCAGCAGCAACATCCACACCGAATGGTGTATTGAAGTCTACTGGCCACCGAGCTGCTTAGCCAGGGAACTGGGCTGTTGCTGTGGGCTTTTTTCAGCAGCAGCGTCCAGGGTTACTCTTTGGTGAGAACTGGGAAGAAGGAAGTGTATCTCAGTGATAATACTCTCCCTTCTGATGCGCTTCTCGCCTCTGCCTCACACTATTATCCAGCACTTGGCAAGGTATGTTAATTAGGCACACTGGTCGGTGTGTGTGTACTCGCCTATTTATGCTTGCAGGAGTTGAGCTTCATCTCTTTGGTCTCCCCTCTCAACTGTCAATCAACCGCTGTTCAGATTCCTGAGCCTACTGGACTCTATCATATCTTCATGTGAAAGTGTGTATGGAGTCTGCCTCCACAACATCACTTCCTAATGCATCACTTCATTTGTTAACTACTCTGACACTAAAAATATTCTTTCTAATATCTCTATGACTCATTTGGGTACTCAGTTTTCTCCTGTGCGTGTGCCTCCTGAGTTAAATAGTTTTTCTACCCTATCAATTTCTCTCAGAATCTTGTATGTGGTGTTCATGTCTCCCCTAACTCCTCTTTCTTCCAGCTACGTGAAGCTTAGTTCTCGTAGTCTCCTCTCGTAGCTCATGCCTCTCAGCTCGGGTACTAGTCTGCTGGCAAACCCCTGAACATTCTCCAATTTAGTCTTGTGCTTAACGTGAAACGGACTCCATGTTGGAGCTGCATACTCAAGGATTGGTCTGACATACGCGGTATACAAGGTTCTGAATGATTCCTTACTCAAGTTTCTAAAGGCCGTTCTTATTTTAGCCAACCTGGCATATGCCGCTTATGATATCTACTTGATGTGTGTATCTGGGGATAGGTCTGGCGTGATATCAACCCCTCGATCTTTCTCACTATTCACTGTGTGTGTGTGTGTGTGTGTGTATGTTTTATTATGTATTTGTATAGGTGTGTGTGTGCGTGTGTGTGTGTGTGGGTGTGTGTGTGTGTGTGTATATGTGTATTTGTATAGGTGTGTGTGTGGGTGTGTGTGTGTGTGTGTGTGTGTATTTGTATAGGTGTGTGTGTGTGTGTGTGTGTGTATGTGGGTGGGTATGTATATGTACGCATGTGTAAGTGTCCTTGACGAGATGCATATGTCTTAAAGTTGATGTCTTTATATTTTCTTCACAAATAACTTTGACGTCAATCACAGAGAAGTTAATATAATGTGTAACATAATTATTAAGACGGTGTTCAGATTAGATACTGGCCTCCACACATGTCACTGACTAATTTGCATAATTAAAAATGCTCTCCAGGTGCGACTGCTGAAGCACCGATCTCCGCTTCTTAATATACTTTACATTATATTCTTAATATTCTTTCTTTCCTTATATTCTCAGCTTCTTTCGTGTAACCTTTACAGTACACGCTATGATACAAAATTCTTAACCAGGAGATGGTATGGTGGTGTATACTGTATACTTTAAGGGGGAGTTTACCGCTCAGTTTACAAACCGTTTTTTATAAGTTGAGATACCGCAGCAATGGCCGCTGGAGGCTGTTATCGTGGGTACTTCAGTCAGATATGATACCAAGACAGTGATAAGCCATGTATGACCATGGCATCACCCAGTCTTCCAATAGTCAGGAGTACTGCAGGTCTTTACAACAGTCAGGTGTGTCGCTGCCTGGGGCACTATAGTCAGGTGTGTCACTGCCTGGAGCACTACAAGAGCACTATAGTCACGTGTGTCACTGCCTGGAGCACTACAAGAGCACTATAGTCACGTGTGTCACTGCCTGGAGCACTACAGGAAGGAACATTAAAATCAAGTGTGTCACTGCTTGAAGCCCCACAGCCAGGAGCACCACAGCCAGGAGCACCACAGCCAGGAGCCCCACAGCCAGGAGCCCCACAGCCAGGAGCCCCACAGCCAGGAGCCCCACAGCCAGGAGCCCCACAGCCAGGAGCCCCACAGCCAGGAGCCCCACAGCCAGGAGCCCCACAGCCAGGAGCACCACAGCCAGGAGCACCACAGCCAGGAGCCCCACAGCCAGGAGCCCCACAGCCAGGAGCCCCACAGCCAGGAGCCCCACAGCCAGGAGCCCCACAGCCAGGAGCCCCACAGCCAGGAGCACCACAGCCAGGAGCACCACAGACAACATGTCGGGCTGGTCACTCTCTGTGCTACTTCTGGGCGTCATGCTGGTGACAGTTGCCGCCCTCGACAGTGAGGAGCAGCAGGTACGTCACGCTAAACGTTAACACACACTTAAGGTTGTCACACTAAATGTTAACACACGCTTAACGTTGTCACGCTTAGTGTTAACACACGCTAAACTTTAGGTCACACTAACACACAAGTTAAGCTCCTGGCTGTCAACACAATTTTCCGTGGACCTGTACACAGTGAGGGGATTTTGTGTTGCGGATCTGTTCAGCACATTGGTCTGTTGTGTTCTGCAGGTTGAAGATATCTGTCTTGTGTGTTCTGCAGGGGTTGTGTTGAACATTGTTCTTGTGTTCTGCAGGTGTTGTGTTGAACATTGTTCTTGTGTTCTGCAGGTGTTGTGTTGAACACAGGTCTGGTGTTCTGCAGGTGTTGTGTTGAACACAGATCTGGTGTTCTGCAGGTGTTGTGTTGAACACTGGTCTGGTGTTCTACAGGTGTTAAGTTGAACACAGGTCTGGTATATACTACTACAACTGTGTTGAACACAATCACACATATTTATTCCAGATATATGTAGTTAAAATTACCCTCTAAGTATTCTGCTTTAATACATTCAGGTATTTGCATATGTGTATAAGGTGAGCAATATTGGCAGTAGTTAAAGCTTAACAGTGTCACTGCAACGCAATTGTTCTGCAATTCAATTGATTGTAAGTAGAATACCCAAAGTTGCGTTGTTCAATCGTAAACACCTGTTACGTGAACATTTATCACAATCACACACGTCAGCACAAACACACCTGACATGGGAGGGGTGAGGACATTATTTTTTTAATAGTTAAAAAAATATCAGTAACATTGGTTAAATATAATTTAAAATAGATTGTTTAAATAGCTATTAAAAAGTGAATGGTTACATAGGATTTGGAGAGAGAGAGATTGGTTAAATATGGTTTCAAAACGGTGATTAAATGAGATTTGGAGATTGATTTACTCGATTGGATTTTGAGCATTGGAAGAAGGGAATTTGTGCATCGGTTGGACAATAAAATAACATATGGAATTCTTTAGACTGATTCTGAATTAGACCAGATTCATGAAACTGAATCTGGCCATAACTTGCTTAAATATGATTTATAATGAATTTGGTTATTTAAATAAGATTTGGAAATAGTGTGGCGGCGAATGTACAGCATTTTAGTCAGTCAGTTTGATAACATATTGGTAAAGTTGGTATTGGGTAATTTGTTTAATTTGAGGTCCTAAATGAGCAACAGATTAAGTAAGCTGAGTATTACGGCACATATACATATATATATACATATATATATATATATATATATATATATATATATATATATATATATATATATATATATATATATATATATATATATATATATATATATATATATATATATATATATATATATATATATATATATATATATATATATATATATATATATATATATATATATATATATATATATATATAATATCTGTGTGTGTGTGGGCAACAGTGTTCATGAAAACAGATTAAAGTATGCGAAAAAAACACATTAACAAAAAAGTGCTGAAAGAGTTTTCGGCAGCCTTGGCCTTCTGAGCACCACAGGTAGCAAGCCCCACAGGTTATCGGCACCTTAGGTGGTAGGCACCACAGATGGCAAGCACCACAGGTGGTAGGCACCACAGGTGGCAAGCACCACAGGTGGCAGGCACCACAGGTGGCAAGCACCACAGGTGGTAGGCACCACAGGTGGCAAGCACCACAGGTGGCAAGCACCACAGGTGGTAGGCACCACAGGTGGTAGGCACCACAGATGGCAAGCACCACAGGTGGTAGGCACCACAGGTGGCAAGCACCACAGGTGGTAGGCACCACAGGTGGCAAGCACCACAGGTGGTAGGCACCACAGGTGGTAGGCACCACAGGTGGTAGGCACCACAGGTGGCAAGCACCACAGGTGGTAAGCACCACAGGTGGCAAGCACCACAGGTGGTAGGCACCAAAGGTGGCAAGCACCACAGATGGCAAGCACCACAGGTGGTAGGCACCACAGGTGGCAAGCACCACAGGTGGCAAGCACCACAGGTGGTAGGCACCACAGGTGGCACGCCCCACAGGTGGCAAGCCCCACAGGTGGCAAGCACCACAGGTGGTAGGCACCACAGGTGGTAGGCACCACAGGTGGCAAGCACCACAGGTGGTAGGCACCACAGGTGGCAAGCACCACAGGTGGTAGGCACCACAGGTGGCAAGCACCACAGGTGGTAGGCACCACAGGTGGCAAGCACCACAGGTGGTAGGCACCACAGGTGGTAGGCACCACAGGTGGCACGCCCCACAGGTGGCAAGTCCCACAGGTGGCAAGCCCCACAGGTGGCAAGCACCACAGGTGGCAAGCACCACAGGTGGCAAGCCCCACAGATAGTAGGCACTACAGGTGGCAAGCCCCACAGATGGTAGGCACTACAGGTGGCAAGCCCCACAGGTGGCAAGCCCCACAGGTGGTAGGCACCACAGGTGGTAGGCACCACAGGTGGTAGGCACCACAGGTGGCAAGCCCCACAGGTGGTAGGCACCACAGGTGGCAGGCACCACAGGTGGCAAGCACCACAGGTGGTAGGCACCACAGGTGGCAAGCACCACAGGTGGTAGGCACCACAGGTGGCAAGCACCACAGGTGGTAGGCACCACAGGTGGCAAGCCCCACAGGTGGCAAGCACCACAGGTGGTAGGCACCACAGGTGACACGCCCCACAGGTGGCAAGTCCCACAGGTGGCAAGCCCCACAAGTGGTAGGCACCACAGGTGGCAAGCCCCACAGGTGGCAAGCCCCACAGGTGGTAGGCACCACAGGTGACAAGCCCCACAGGTGGCAAGCACCACAGGTGGCAAGTTTGTGTGATCACACTATTAATTGGGAAGGAGCGAAAAGCATTACTAATTGCAGCGGTTTCTTGGGGGCAGAGTTTGATTGAGTCTGTCTTAATCAGTGTCCAAATCTTATCAAAGTTAGAATTGGTATGTACAAACTTGACCCATTTTTAAGTTACAATATTGCAAAACAGTTTAAGAAAAAACTCTGATAGGGAGGGTTACAATGTCTCAATATAATATTATACATATATTATGTGTTTGTTCAATGAGGATTGCTGTTTAATCTTTCATACTTATTCTCTGACCGCTTGTTCCTCCTGACTGTTCTAAGATAATCTATACCTGTTTCTGGGTAAATCTTTTCCCTGGAATGGGTGGTCAGGTCGCAGTTGTTGGTCTCCACTCTTCTTCTGTTTCTCTCAGCCAGTCCGGTGTTGACAACGGCTTTTTTATCGGCTGGAACGTTCATCTCCCTTTCCCATTTATCTGTGGATTTTCCATTATATATATATATATATATATATATATATATATATATATATATATATATATATATATATATATATATATATAAATGTTGTACCTAGTAGCCAGAACGCAGTTCTTGCCTACTATGCAAGGCCCGATTTGCCTAATAAGCCAAGTTTTCCACAATTTCAATATTTAACAAAAAAATATTATGAAATGATAAAGCTATTCATTTCATTATGTATGAGCTATTTTTTTTTCAATTTGAATTAAAACTAACGTAGATATATGACCGAACCTAACCAACCCTACCTAACCTAATCTATCTTAACCTAACCTAAACTAACATAAATTATTGATTTAGTTATGTTCCTAATATATTATAATTATATTTAAAATAAACCAATAGGAAACAATTTATTGAAAATAAAGAAAATCATTCAGCCTATTAGGCAAATCGGGCATTTCATAGTAAGCCGAGAAGTGCGTTCTGGCTACTAGATACAACATATGTATGTATATATATATATATATATATATATATATATATATATATATATATATATATATATATATATATATATATATATGGCATCTTTTACATATATTTGTGTCACAATATCTAACTCGCAGCACTACATATGTGGCACCTTAACCTCACCATACACTATATTTGTGGCACCATACGGTGTTTGGTGCCACAAAGAAAGATTTAGAATGGTGTTGATAGATAAAAGAAATGCCAGATCATACCCAAAGTTGTCGGGGTATTTGCCATAATCCAGCTTGTAAATGTGTGATTACACTACTGGGATTAGTTTAATTGCCCAGTAACTGTCTTATCACTAATTTACATGATAAAATTCTGGGTAACTTTTCTAAATTAAATTATACAAATTTTAAAAATTAAATTATGAATAATTTCAGAATTTAATTTATGAAAATGTTAAAAATTCAGTTATGAAATTTATTTCAAAACTTAAATTATCAAACTTTACAAGAGATAATTGCATAAAATTAACCAAACCACTAATGTCTTCCATTTCTTTTGTTTTCCAGAAAGAAAATAAAGAACATCTTAAAGTGTCTTTAGGTAAGCTGTCTGCAAATTTTTAAAGTTCTTTGTATGGGTCGTTTGCATCTTCATGAGATGCCACTGAAGGGGATGACATCTTAAGGGGATGGCATCTTAAGGGGATGACATCTTAAGGGGATGGCATCTTAAGGGGATGACATCTTAAGGGGATGGCATCTTAAGGGGATGACATCTTAAGGGGATGACATCTTAAGGGGATGGCATCTTAAGGGGATGGCATCTTAAGGGGATGGCGGACGCCAGACTACAAAGTTGAAGTCTGGCGATGTGCTTAAAATTTACAAGGAGGTGGACCTTCATTTTAATCATAAGGACCATCGCTCTAAGAATGTTAGTCGACTGGTAAAAATTTCAGATGTTTACAGAATTATTTGAGATGTTAACAAAATTATTACAGATGTTTATAAAATGATTACAGATGTTTACAAAATAATTTAATATACTTATACAATATTGCAGATGTTTAAAAAATAATTGCAGATGTTTACCTAATATTTGCATATATTTGCAAAATAGAGTATAGATGTTAAAAAAATTGATTCCAAATGCTTATAAAATTGGTTAATAATTAATAATTTCATTGTGTCGGGGGACAGGCAGAGTGTGTGTATTCATACACGTTAGGCTTATATCAAGACAACCCCTTTGCAAATATTCTGAGTGCAAAAATAGTAATATGTTCTTTAAACTCTGTACGAGATCGCTTCTGCACGCAGGACATCGTGATGAGACCAGATAACAGATAAGAATGTTGTATATCTAATCTCCACCAAGAGATATCAAGGCCCCCCTGTACTCTCTCTCATGTGTCATACAGTTTTATCCTGGGCTTTCACCTCGTCAGGGAGCCGCTGATAAAAAAATATATATCCTTCTTTCACCACCTCGACTACTGACTCTAGCGGAGCACACTGGAGAGTCACCCGGAAATGAACTTAAATATGGAGATGGGGCTCAAAGTCATACTATTGGGGGATTCAGCTCAGAACTGTCCCATTGTCCTTAGTACACACCCTAACTGAGACTATGACTTACCCTCTCTCTCTCTCTCTCTCTCTCTCTCTCTCTCTCTCTCTCTCTCTCTCTCCCTCTCCCTCTCTCTCTCTCTCTCTCTCTCTCTCTCTCTCTCTCTCTCTCTCCCTCTCTCTCTCTCTCTCTCTCTCTCTCTCCCTCTCCCTCTCTCTCTCCCTCTCCCTCTCCCTCTCCCTCTCCCTCTCTCTCTCTCTCTCTCTCTCTCTCTCTCTCTCTCTCTCTCTCAGTCTGAGGGCGATCTCCTTCTAGTTCCCCTTTTAGTTTTCTGTATGTTGTCGTTCCGCCTGGAATTATTTATCTCTCTTTCTTCTTAGAAATCTGATTATCTCTGCTAGGCTGCTGCCTGCTGGCCGTCTGCTAGGCTGCTGCCTGCTGGCCCTCTGCTAGGCTGCTGCCTGCTGGCCGTCTGCTAGGCTGCTACCTGCTGGCCGTCTGCTAGGCTGCTGCCTGCTGGCCCTCTGCTAGGCTGCTGCCTGCTGGCCGTCTGCTAGGCTGCTGGCCCTCTGCTAGGCTGCTGCCTGCTGGCCGTCTGCTAGGCTGCTGCCTGCTGGCCCTCTGCTAGGCTGCTGCCTGCTGGCCGTCTGCTAGGCTGCTGCCTGCTGCCTGCTGGCCGTCTGCTAGGCTGCTGCCTGCTGGCCCTCTGCTAGGCTGCTGCCTGCTGGCCGTCTGCTAGGCTGCTGCCTGCTGGCCCTCTGCTAGGCTGCTGCCTGCTGGCCGTCTGCTAGGCTGCTGCCTGCTGGCCGTCTGCTAGGCTGCTGCCTGCTGGCCCTCTGCTAGGCTGCTGCCTGCTGGCCCTCTGCTAGGCTGCTGCCTGCTGGCCGTCTGCTAGGCTGCTGCCTGCTGGCCCTCTGCTAGGCTGCTGCCTGCTGGCCCTCTGCTAGGCTGCTACCTGCTGGCCGTCTGCTAGGCTGCTGCCTGCTGGCCCTCTGCTAGGCTGCTGCCTGCTGGCCGTCTGCTAGGCTGCTGCCTGCTGGCCCTCTGCTAGGCTGCTGCCTGCTGGCCGTCTGCTAGGCTGCTGCCTGCTGGCCGTCTGGGCTAGGCTTCTTACATGAAATTTAACACCATCACAAAAACATCAACAATAAATATCGTCATTGACTTGCATCGCGTGAGACATACTACATGAAGCCCTCCACCTCACAAGCATATATTGTTGCCCCTCACAACCTCTCTCTATCTCATCCGGAAGATCAGCTAATCTCGCACCACAAGTCTCCTCCCTCTGTGGTGGTTGATCTTCCTGACAATCACCACTGGGACCATCCATCAATTGGTCCTCAAATTAATTAAGTAGATCCTCTCGCAGCTTCTATATCTTTGTAACATCACTTAATGATGGATCATGTCCACCATGTACCACTGCTACATCAACTCTGGACGCACCACGTCCATCATACATGAACCTGTAATTCCATTATCACAAAATAAGAAACTATTTACTCCTATCAAAACTCAAATAACATATAATTAATAAATTTTTCCTCGCACTGTCACATTCCACGTGCCGGCCTCCACTGTGGGGGTACTCCCCTGCCTGGACGAGTCCACACCGAAAATCTCCTTCAGCCTGGGGGTTCTTCCCGGCAGTCAGCCACTGACCCCGGTCAAGTGAGCATGTGTTGCTCCCGCCTATATTATGCCAATTCATCTTATATTTATTATATCATTTCATTATCTCCACAAACTTTCTAATCGACATTCATAAACACTATACAAGATCGCTGGGCTCACGATCTCACTGCAACAACCAACATATGACAGTTTACTAAGCTCTTACAGTAAATATGGAGATAGCGACACTCATCGCACGACGTCCAAATATGGCGCTCTGCTAAGTCTCCCAGACAACTCTCTTCTGACTTCCACTACTCTGCTCCTCTCAATCATGACTTGCATGAGAAGGGCCGCGGCACAGGTGCCAACCAGGTACACCTGCACAACAATCCTGGTGAAGGATTCACCACCGTGGTTCCTCAGAGCACCACCTCCCAACTGGCTTCAGGTCGCCCATACTCGTTGCCACTATTTAAGAGATACGTCACCATCGCCCTCCCAACAGCTTCACTCACGAAGCCCTTCACAAATTCCTCTCCATAAGCCACCAATATCGTCCTTCCTCCGGAGGGACGACCTGCATCCTTCTCTTCAGACTTTCTCACGACAAGTGACGTCCTAAGACCTTTGCACACGACTCTCGCGATGACGTCATTTTTGCACACGGGACGTCGCATACTGTCGACACCTCACCTTAAAGTTTTATCAAGGATGGTCATCCGTGATTGATCTCCCTCTTGGTCACATGTAATAACAGTTGATTGCACTGTTTAATTTCCCAGATTCCTCACTGTGGTCAGGTGGGGAATACCTCACATTGAGGGGGCGGACCTGTGTCATGAGGCTACATGAGGGTTCATAACAGCGTTCAGCAGCAGATCTGATTGAATGCCTGACCTGCTAACAGCAGCAGGTCTGAGTGACTGCATGACCTGCTTACAGCCGCAGGTCTGATTGAATGCATGACCTGCTTACAGCCGCAGGTCTGATTGAATGCATGACCTGCTAACAGCAGCAGGTCTGAGTGACTGCATGACCTGCTTACAGCCGCAGGTCTGATTGAATGCATGACCTGCTTACAGCCGCAGGTCTGATTGAATGCATAACCTGCTTACAGCCGCAGGTCTGATTGAATGCATGACCTGCTTACAGCCGCAGGTCTGATTGAATGCATGACCTGCTTACAGCCGCAGGTCTGATTGAATGCATAACCTGCTTACAGCCGCAGGTCTGATTGAATGCATGACCTGCTTACAGCCGCAGGTCTGATTGAATGCATGACCTGCTAACAGCTGCAGGTCTGAGTGAATGCCTGACCTGCTAACAGCTGCAGGTCTGAGTGAATGCCTGACCTGCTAACAGCTGCAGGTCTGAGTGAATGCCTGACCTGCTAACAACAGCAGGTCTGCTCAGGGTTACCGGCAGTCAAAGTCACTGATATGCAATTTCCTTAAACTTTTTTTGACAGTAACAAGAGGGTGATTGACAGCGCCAATTAAAATGTTCACAAAACATCTGTCAAGCGGCCAGATGAAAGAATACTTGACTGATGAAAGCACTATATGCTTTATGCTGTGTTTCATAATACATATAACACAGTATTTACAATGTCATGGGGTTGAACACAGTATCCGCACTGCCATGTGGGTGAACACAGTACCTACACTGCCATGTGGATGAACACAGTACCTACACTGCCATGTGGATGAACACAGTACCTACACTGTCGTGTGATTGAACATTCCACCTTCACTTCAAGAGGTTACCTGCCAACTGTGAGGTTAAGAATAGTACCCGCAGATGGACAAAGTTACAAAGTGGTGAACAGAAAGTTACCCGATGATGTACAGAGGGATTTTACACAGTCTCTTATTCCATCTATCAACAAAATTATACAAAAAAAATTACATAAACATAACTAATCAAGCAAAAAAAAAATCACTTTGAATCCAATAATGATCCAAAATAATCCGAAAACTTTGAATTCAAATTACTACATGAATGCTTTAAAATGTTTCGCTCTGACGACTTCAACATTATGAAGAATGACTAACAACAATGACACTTAGTAGTCTCTCTAACTACACAAGGTGTGTGACCGAGCGCAGGACGGGAAAGTGAACCTTATGGCCTCCTCTCCAAAGAATCAGTTTTCCTGTAGACTAACTCAGTTCTCACAACACTATCAGCATCCGTTGAGCATTCTTGGAACTCGACATTGAAGATAGCGCTGATTCTCTTTATCAACCACTTGGGCTGGCCGGTAGAGCGACGGTCTCGCTTCATGGAGGTCGGCGTTCAATCCCCCCAACCGTCCAAATGATTGCGCAATCACCATTATGATGTGATTGGTGCCGAATTATCACCCGGTTAGGTGGATTCATTTGCAAAAGAACGATTACAACTATCCCTGGTAACCACTCCACCAACCTGACAGTTAAACAGGTTAAAGACTCAATGACAGCTTCAATACATTTTCTACACTTGCCTAATTGATAAATAATAAATTAGCCGATACTGACGACCGTGGCTTCACTTGGCCAGGAGACCAACCTGAACTAGGACGATATTGGTGACCCTTGTTTCACCAGCCCCGGAGATGACGTACTCTTGTGACGACATAAGCGACGCATGCTTCACCAGCCCCGGAGATGAAGCACTCTTGTGACGACATAAGCGACGCATGCTTCACCAGCCCCGGAGATGACGTACTCTTGTGACGACATAAGCGACGCATGCTTCACCAGCCCCGGAGATGACGTACTCTTGTGACGACATAAGCGACGCATGCTTCACCAGCCCCGGAGATGACGTACTCTTGTGACGACATAAGCGACGTACGCTTCACCAGCCCCGGAGATGACGTACTCTTGTGACGACATAAGCGACGTACGCTTCACCAGCCCCGGAGATGACGTACTCTTGTGACGACATAAGCGACGTACGCTTCACCATCCCCGGAGATGACGTACTCTTGTGACGACATAAGCGACGTACGCTTCGCCAGCCCCGGAGATGAGTCACACCTCTGACAAGACAGCGGTCTCTCTGCTGTCTTGTGGATGTGGTGCTTAACCTTGCGTCACTGATCTGACACCTAAAATTGCGTTACGAACCGGACACCAAACATTGCGTCATGGAACTGACACCTACCATTGCAACTCGGGCCTGGAACCTAACCTTTCTTCTGATCTTGATGACCTAACTTTGCGTCATCGATGTGGCACATGACCTTGCGTCACGGACCGGACACTTAACCTTGCGTCACGGATCTTGCTCATACGTTGCGTCACGAACCTGTCGCTACGGCGGCAAGTTCACGCACAGGGTGAGTGGTTGTACCCAATACTGTCACTATGGTGCCATGTTCACTCACAGGATGAGTGACGCTCCCCAATATTCTCGTCCATCAAGTCAAAATAAAAAATAATCCCGTCAGTCACTGTCATGTCAAGAGATGACATCGTTCAAACTCACTGAAGGTTAAGGTGACAGTATCAGCGGACGTGAACGTTGAACACCTGCCGGACAACTCAGCAACGTGGAACGCTGAGTCAGTTACGACATGACACAACTCAGACTGCAACACGGAACACGGAACACCGAACACGGACCACTGAGCCAGTAACAATGACAGCAGTGTGAAGCTGTACTGACTATAAGGTCATGTGGTATGTTGTGATCTGTTGTGACACAACATACCACAACATGATGAACTTACTGACGACCCCAGTAATAGAACCACATGATAGAGACAACTATAAAAATATGATGAACATAGATACGATCATAACAAAGCCATATAGAGACGACCATAACATTATATTTTTGATGACTTTTCCATCAACATCTTGGTTGATTGCTGTTACACCGCATCAGTTCTCGAGGTCTGGCTTAGTAAAGACTGACTTGTACAGTGTTTTAGTATTTTGCTCGTGTCTTCCTGCCCGTCTACTGGGTGATCAGAAAGTGCTTTGAGCAGTACTGTCCTCTCCACTAACTTCCTTTTGTGGAACTGGAACATCTTTAGTGATACAACTTCACATCTCAGGCTATCTTTGTAAGCTCTTTTGGCTTTTCTTAATTCTTGCTTTATCTGTCTTGTTCATTCACCGAACTGATCTATTGGTGGGAGGGGGCTACCCAACCCCTCCCTGTTTTTGTATCCAGTTAGGTAATCCATTCTGTATGTCCTCTATTTAGAGTATATTATTTTGTGTTATTGTCTAGTATGGATATTACTTCACTATTATATTTTCATAATTTGTGTAAGGTCTACGTATTTTTCATTTACTGATGGATTTATTATCAAATTCTGAGTAATATGTATATGGCGTAGCAGGTCTTCAGGAGAGAATAAAAGAACTACTCATTTGGAAAACCAGGAATAGACTTGGCTGCATTTTTTTTAATCAAAGAATTGCTGTCACAAGCAGATGAAGTGTTAACCACCATCCTGGTAAAGTCAGCTTCCAGAGACACGAGTTGTGTGTTCAGAGTGACTTTGACCCAAGATAGTCTCTGAACTGTTGCTGCCGCTATATAAAACATGCTTGGTATATCCGGCCTTAAAATGCTCTCTCTCTCTCTCTCTGTCTCTCTCTCTCTCTCTCTCTCTCTCTCTCTCTCTCTCTCTCTCTCTCTCTCTCTCTCTCTCTCTCTCTCTCTCTCTCTCTCTCTCTCTCTCTCTCTCTCTCTCTCTCTCTCTCTCTCTCTCTCTCTCTCTCTCTCTCTCTCTCTCTCTCTCTCTCTCTCTCTCTCTCTCTCTCTGTCTCTCTGTCTCTCTCTCTCTCTCTCTGTCTCTCTCTCTCTCTCTCTCTCTATATATATATATATATATATATATATATATATATATATATATATATATATATATATATATATATATGTCGTACCTAGTAGCCAGAACTCACTTCTCAGCCTACTATTCAAGGCCCGATTTGCCTAATAAGCCAAGTTTTCCTGAATTAATATATTTACTAAATTTTTTCTTATGAAATGATAAAGCAACCCTTTTCTCTATGTATGAGGTCAATTTTTTTGATAGGAGTTAAAATTAACGTAGATATATGACCGAACCTAACCAACCCTACCTAACCTAACCTAACCTATATTTATAGGTAAGGTTAGGTTAGGCAGCCAAAAAAAGCTAGGTTAGGTTAGGTTAGGTAGGTTAGGTAGACGAAAAAACATTAATTCATGAAAACTTGGCTTATTAGGCAAATCGGGCCTTGAATAGTAGGCTGAGAAGTGCGTTCTGGCTATTAGGTACGACATATATATATATATATATATATATATATATATATATATATATATATATGTATGTATGTTTCATTGAATATGACCGCATATTCTGTATTTATTATTTTCTGGTTTAGGGCTTCTATCCCTCTAACTATTTTCTTAGCATCAGGGCTTAATTGGAATAGGAGTTCTCCAAAACTCATTTTCGTACTTTTAAGGTGAAGAAAAGAAGTGATTTACTAAAATTTACCTTACCTAATTTATCTTACCTAATTTACCTAATTTAACTAAATTTACCTTTACTAAGATTTACCTTAAAAGTACGAAAATGAGTTTTGGAGAACTCCTATTCCAATTAAGCCCTGATGCTAAGAAAATAGTTAGAGGGATAGAAGCCCTAAACCAGAAAATAATAAATACAGAATATGCGGTCATATTCAATGAAACATGTTTGAAAGAAAACCTGCTGCCAGTATACACCAATATATATATATATATATATATATATATATATATATATATATATATATATATATATATATATATATATATATATATATAAATAATTGTGGAAACAAATTCTGATTTTAAATTATCCATAATGTCTTCTTATTGAAACTAAGAGTGTCTAAGGTGTCTTGCCCACGAGTTGTGATATCTTACAGTATTGTCTCCCTCAGAGCCAGGTGAAGGGCCGCCTGTGAACGTGATAGCGACGCCGGTGGGAGCCACCGCCCTCAACGTGTCGTGGGACCCGCCAGAGACGGCGCCTCAGTATTATACTGTCGATGTTACGACAATCTTCAATGCTGAAACATCTGACACATTCTCCCTCATAGACGAACTGGAAAGTTGCCAATACTATGCAGTTGTTGTGTCGTCTGTTTACTATGATGGGGTGTCCAGTCCAAGTTTTGGGTCTGGCACAACCAATGCTCCAGGTAATCCGTCCAACGCTTTTGTCACCTAGGAAACATTTGTAATATTTAACTTTGACTTAGTTGTAAACAAAGTACACGTTAGGGTTGCTCATATTTGTTACTGTTAAATTATATTCAATATATTCTTTACAATGATATTCATTTGATAAGTGTATACTCGATACAGTGTTTGTTGTCAACAGTTTCTATAGCACATAAATCATTTACCGTTACAATGATCATCGTAGGAAGCCACTCACAGTAAACAGAGCCACTTATCCTATACATTTTAGCACAGTTCATCCAGAAATGGCCGTACCTTTAGCTGCTCCTATATTTGGACTTTTCTACAAAAAAGAAATCCTCGATACGTATTAATAAATGATAAAATAAGAATAACTAACCATATACCTAATTTGTTCTAGACCTAAATTAGCAGTCTTAGGTCTAACACACACAAGCTTCGGCCTATTCTAATAAAAATGTGTACTATACCCAGTTCAGGAAAAGTTAGGCTTAGTTTTTTAATTCTTTCCTGGTTTTCAACTGCATAAACTAACAGTTCAAATACTTCCATCTACAATAACTAAAAGCTCTATATATATTTTTAAAGAAATTTGACATTTTCCCCCCAGTACCGCCAGCGCCAGATAGCTGCTCGTTAACTCTAACATCATCAAGCACGGTGACTGTTAGCTGGCATGACCCGGCTCTTGAGTGTGGCAGTTTTGATCACGACATTAAGTGGTCGTGGGACGTCCTGTGGAGTGACGAGCAAGGCTCAGATGAAACCTTCAGCAGTGAGACAAGCATCACGATCCCCGACCTCTCACCTTACACCAGCCTCACAGTGAACGTAGCAGTGATCAGTACGGGAGGAGCTGGTCAACCCACATCTTGCTCCATCACCACACCTGAGGAAGGTACGTCATCCCTGGATATTGTACCATCCCGCCTCTCAACTGTCAATCACCTGTTTACTAACTACTATTTGGCTATTATTAGTTAGTTATTAGTGGCTATTATTTGGTTAGTTATTACTAACTACTATTTGACTATTACTAACTACTACTACTTGGCTGAGAGTCTAATCTACTAAGCCAAGGGCAGCAACCGATGGCAATTTAGGGATCTATTTTAAATTTTCACCTGACTGTCGGGGATTCGAATCTTTAAATTTCATCCATTTTTTACAATGTTTCTAGAGAAGAGAATTAGATAATCCAAATGGAAAACAAAATACCATATCCTAACATTCTTATTTCCCGTTAACATATTTCTGCAATACTTTCAGCTCCTGGACCTCCTAACAACTTGCAACTAGAGCAGGAAGCAACGTCTATCACCGCCACCTGGGACCCGCCTCAGGAGATGAATGGCGTGATTATGGGTTACCTGGTCATGTGGGATGACGGAGAGGGTCTTCCTGACGAGGCAACTCTCGATAATTCAGCTCGTTCATATACAATTCAGAATCTTACACGATGCCTGGAGTACACTGTTAGTGTTAGTGCAAATACCTCCACAGGTTGGGGAGCAGAAGCACAAAGCATGACCTCCATCCCAAATTATCGTAAGTGTTTGCAGGAAGCAATATAAACATACACATTTATGTTGACCAGACCACACACTAGAAATTGAAGGGACGACGACGTTTCGGTCCGTCCTGGACCATTCTCAAGTCGATTGTGGACCATTGTGGACCGATTCTGGACCATTCTCACAATCGACTTGAGAATGGTCCAGGACGGACCGAAACGTCGTCGTCCCTTCAATTTCTAGTGTGTGGTCTGGTCAACATACTTCAGCCACGTTATTGTGACTCATTGCCTGCATACACATTTATGGATAATACAGAGTGCGATGTATAAAATTGTACATTGTTATTCTCATTGACGATATCCTAAATCTCAACTGATGACATTATTCTACACTACGGCTGTAGAAGTACGTTTATTACGTGAGTTGGATGCGTGATAACTCTATCATGTGGATGCATGATACAGTTATGTAAACACGTGTTGTATCCGAAGTGTATATATATCATGAATGCTTAAGAACACTACCACTTTTGTAGAGACAGACGCAGCACCAGCATTTGTAATTCCTGTAATGAAATACTCAAATATTACAGGAGTATCAGCCTGGAATTTTCATTAATTCCTATAATGAACTTATGTCATGAGCTTATGTCATTCCTTATGTCATAAGCGCACGCGCGCGCGCGTATGTGTGTTTTTGCTTGTTTGTTTTTGTTTTTGCTTGTTTTTGTTTGTTAATATTATGCCTGAGTCAACAAACCAAAAATTATGGCATGTAATTTAATCAACTTCGGTTGTTAGTCGGGTCATCAAGTGAAGTCATCACGCCTGACTTTTAAAGCTGAAGTTCTTAGTGATTGTAAATAGTGCCTAAGTTATACACCAATATACCATGGCCCAATGAAGTTATTAACTACAAGTTTTCAATGTAGTTCCAGTTGAGGCTCTGGAATGTTACGGGAGCGAGTCACGAGGAGTTGATCTGGTCTGGAGCCTGGAGTCACCAGACTGTCAGGTGGCTGGCTTCACCCTCTCCTGGAACACGACTGTTGAGTGGTCCAACCAACAAGGTAAACCTTCGCTGTTCTTATAGTTGAACTGTCTTTTGTTTATAATTTGGTTATTTTTGCCACTTGTGTCTGATACGAATGTTACTTGTCTTAAGCTGTGATTTTTGGTCACTTGTGTCTGATACGAATGTTACTTGTCTTAAGCTGTGAAAGGCAATTATGTGTTATCTATTCGCTCAAGATTATATATATAACTATGAACCTTAAGGCTGCCATTGCGCATATTAGCGGTTCAGTAGTTTTGGTTCACTGCACAATGACCTTCCATAAGTATTTTAACTTCATGGTTACTGTAGATCAAATCAGGTGATATATGGTTGCTGCCTCAGTACTCCAGGTTCCAGCGCAGGATATTCCTGGATTATTGGCACATGATGATTATGGCAAAGTAAATTATTGGAAAGATACAATAGTTGAGAGGGAATACCACTTTCCAGTCCAGCAAGACTAGTAATGTCTTAATGAAATTATGAAGGATTGAGGCAAGATGGAAGAAAAAGACCAACGGGTGAAGAAAAACATTGATAGTTGATGTGTATTCATGTCTTCGTTGTAGTTTTTTTAAACTTGAATAATAAAATAGGGAACATGGAATCAAATTTTTTTATGGGATAATGTATATTTTTTGGACAATGTTATGGACACAACATGTTAAACAAACCTTATATATATGACCACTAAACAGAAAGAAGCTAGTAAACAACATCGAATTAGAAAGTATTAGGATGTAATGATAAAAAAATAATTCGATTTAGCACAACATTCTAAAGGTTTGTGAAAGCTGAGAGAGTGAGGTCCAGATTTGTAATGACAAAAGGTTTATGTATGCTAGAGAAGGAGAGCACTTTTCTTGAGAAGAGGATACGTCTTTTGCAGAATCAGTAGGGAAGGCAATGTGAAGGAATTGAAACAAATGGTAATCCACGCTGATACGTGCACGAAGTACACACTGGATTTGCATTCTTAGCGTAACGGTGAGTTGGTACAGTGCTTGAGGTGAAGACCCATCGTGGGCGATCACTGTTGGCATGTTCTTAAATCAACGGCAAGACACAACACTGAGATATACATCAGTCTCATGATATCTTCTCATTTAAAAAATAGACTTTCTTGGAACAACGAACCTTAAGAACACTTTCATAAAGCACTTAAGGATAAGTGTGTGCAGTTGCACTTCTGAATATTGCTATCAAAGTTGACCACCATAGAAATTACAAATCTTATGTCATTTAGCCATTAGAATACAAGTTATGTTCTGACTTATAAGCCATCTCGCCCATGTAAATAATTCGTCCTTGAAGAAAATATTATTTGATCTTCACAAACGATGAAAGAATAATCAAGGACATTACAACCTCAGATGCCACATTCCCAGATCACAAGCTCATTGAAGTGCAGACTAACATCAATACTCGTAATAGGCCCAAACAAAAATTATTAAAGGAGGAGGATTACTCAATAAATTTAATTGTAATAATACGAGGACACTGAACTAATAAACATAGAAAATTTGTTGTATAATGCAATTATACATATATTGGATTTTTCCTTCGCCTTCATTCAAGCACTACGGCATGGTAAGTTTTTCAATTATTATTAATATTATTATTATTATTATTATTATTATTATTGTTAGTATTGTTAGTATTGTTAGTATTGTTGTTAGTATTATTGTTACCAGAAGTAGCCATATTAATAACAGCAGTAAGAATATTTTATAATAGCAGTAGTAAGTACCACAGAAGTAAAAAGTATAATATGATATTTTTAAAAAAATTACATATTTAACTTTACCCAAAAACATATATTTCCGGATTATGAATATTTTGTGCTTTAAGAAAGCTGAGTGAGTTTAAGAAAAGACTCCTGGTTGTGTTCACTTTACACTCGTGTGGAAGAAAACTAAGACTTTGGTTTTTGTTTCAGATGAAAACTAAGACTTTGGTTTTTGTTTCAGATGAAAACTAAGACTTTGGTTTTTGTTTCAGATGAAAACTAAGACTTTGGTTTTTGTTTCAGATGAAAACTAAGACTTTGGTTTTTGTTTCAGATGAAAACTAAGACTTTGGTTTTTGTTTCAGATGAAAACTAAGACTTTGGTTTTTGTTTCAGATGAAAACTAAGACTTTGGTTTTTGTTTCAGATGAAAACTAAGACTTTGGTTTTTGTTTCAGATGAAAACTAAGACTTTGGTTTTTGTTTCAGATGAAAACTAAGACTTTGGTTTTTGTTTCAGATGAAAACTAAGACTTTGGTTTTTGTTTCAGATGAAGACAACATAACCCTCTCAGGAGCCGTCACTAACTACTCCATAGCCGACCTTGAGCCGTACACGGAGGTCAACGCCTGCCTGGTCGTTGATGGGGTCGAGGGCGAATGGTCGTGCTGCTCCTCCACTACCCTGGAGGAAGGTGAGATCCACTTGTCCCACACAGGGGGGCCTCGTGGCTGAGTGGACAGCACTCGGGGGTCGTATTCCTAAGCGCCCGGGTTCGATTTCATCATTGTATATTGGTCTTGTATACATATGTTATTGATTCTTGCGCGAATCTTATGTATTTTCCTTATTTTTTTGTTCACTTGAGAAGGAAGTCGCGAAAAGTTCATTTCACAGTTTTATTATTGCCAGGTGGTAAGAGAGGCGTTTTATTGACTTTGTCAACATTTTCAAAGGCCACGTACATTAGAATACAATTTCGCTAAAGTAGCTCAATATATAGCTCAATATATAAGTAGCTCAATATATAACCAAGGTGAAGAACCTCTTACTGAGCACTGTGCCCACTGAAGCCTCCCAGTCTCATATGTTTCAGTGATGCCTGAGGCAGTATGTTGGATGTTGAGTCTTGTTCACGAGGATCCCAGAGTCGGATGTCACCCACTTGTTGATGGTTGGGTGGGATGGATGGATGTGTAGTGTCTGGCCGGTGTTCAGTCTGCTATTAATGTGTCTGTCGATTATTTTAGGGTTGCTTGTCAGGATATCTCTGGTGATGATCTGGTTGTGTGTTGAGACAATATGTTCCTTGATGGACCCTTCCTGTCTGTGCATTGTCAGGCGCCTTGAAGGTGATGTTGTTGTCTTGCCTATATATTGAGGTCGTTGGGGCTGACAGGCCTCAAGTGGGCGTGTGAAGACATAGACGACATCCATCTCTTTCAAGAGGTTTCGTTAAGTGTCAGGAGAGCTTTTCATGAGCAGGTTAGAGGTCTTCTTGGTCTTACATTATATTATTAACCCAACCTTTATTGATTGTATTGATTTATTTTTATTACACATCTTTGCATGTAACAAAGTAAATATTTGTATATACGGTAGCCAAGACGGTGACGATGACTGCCAAGTGGGCAACGACAGATTTTTTTAAATTTACACCATTAACTATTCGCCATTGGCGACTGATATGTGCTCCACTTATTAATGAACTTTGACAGTTTACAAATCTGGTTATCTGGCAACACTGTGAGGCGACGTCTTCAGAAAAAAAGTTACTTTTAAAATGTAAAAGTTATTTGCGACTTTCATTCGTTTTTTCTACGTGTTTCAAGATTTTTGTTTTGGTATAAGGATGACTTTATTTAATTTATATATACCATTCTTACATTCTTGTAAAGGTACTATCATGCATAGCGCTTCTGGTAATGCCTTAATCCTAATTTTCCCTGGAATTCGACCCATCAAATCGTTTAACCACCAGGTACCCATTCACTGCTGGGTGAACAGAGGCGTACAGTTAAGGATTGGCGCCTAGTCAATCCTCCTCAGATTGACTAGGCGGGGCGGACTATGATTTGGCCAGGATATGAACCCAGGCCAAATCAATCACGAAGCGCGGGGCAAGGGTGTTACCACTGCACCACAGGGACTGTTTTAAACATTCGTTAGACTCTACGTATCATTGATACATAATATGTATCAATATGATACATGATATGTATCAATATGATACATGATATGTATCAATATGATACATGATATGTATCAATATGATACATGATATGTATCAATATGATACATGATATGTATCAATATGATACATGATATGTATCAATATGATACATGATATGTATCAGTCTGGTGAATATAAATTATGTCTCCCATTTTATGGCCAATAGGCTTTCTGAATTTACTTCATCGTTATAATATGCTCTGCTTTGCTATATTGTAAGTTGATACACACATATATATATATATATAAAGATTCCAAAGCATGGGAATGGGACAAATAAAAAAGATAATGGTAATGGGGCTGATACAAGTAAAATAATTATGGTAATGGGGCTGATACAAGTAAAATAATTATGGTAATGGAGCTGAGACAATTAAATAATCATGGTAATGGAGCTGAGACAATTAAATAATCATGGTAATGGAGCTGAGACAATTAAATAATCATGGTAATGGAGCTGAGATTAAATATTCATGGTAATGGAGCTGAGAATAAAATCATGGTAATGGAGCTGAGACAATTAAATAATCATGGTAATGGAGCTGAGACAATTAAATAATCATGGTAATGGAGCTGAGACAATTAAATAATCATGGTAATGGAGCTGAGACAATTAAATAATCATGGTAATGGAGCTGAGACAATTAAATAATCATGGTAATGGAGCTGAGACAATTAAATAATCATGGTAATGGAGCTGAGACAATTAAATAATCATGGTAATGGAGCTGAGACAATTAAATAATCATGGTAATGGAGCTGAGACAATTAAATAATCATGGTAATGGAGCTGAGACAATTAAATAATCATGGTAATGGAGCTGAGACAATTAAATAATTATGGTAATGGGAGCTGGAGATAGCAAACAGATCACGGTAATGTTGCTAATACTCCAAAAAAGTTAGCACGAACGATTATACTGTTTTATATATATAAAAAAAGTCTTGAAATATATATGCAAATATCTTGCAGTTCCTGGACCTCCTGTCAACCTGAGTCTTGAGGTGGACCAAACGTCTCTCCGTGTCTCTTGGGGTTATCCTGAGGAGAAGAACGGCGAGATTATAGCCTTTACGATCTCGTGGGAAGATTTAGAGGGCGATTCGTATAACGAGACGGTGGATGCTGATGTGCTCTCGTACACAATAGAGCCCATCATTCCCTGCGTGGAGTACAATGTTACAGTTACAGCCAGCACGTCTGCGGGCCCGGGAGCTGGAGCACAAGACCTGGCCATCATCCCAAATTATCGTAAGTATCTTCCCTACTCAGGGAGGTATATACATATAGGACATTATAAACAATTGGTGTTCTTAATGTTAAATTTGTTTAGATTGTGGAAATCTATTAACTATTGAAACACATCTGCCCAATGGTACGTGAATGGGTTTTGGTTGCAATGTATATGGTTTACAAAATGTTCTTTAAATTTGCACTATTAAATATTTCATATAAATGCCTAACAATCCAAAATCTTCGATGGGATACGAGCCTCGGGGTTTAGTGTTCCAGTCATCACTGTCTACTTAATTCTTTTCAGTAAGCGATATAAAGATATAATTGTTGGTCTGACCTGAAAGAAATTCTCGTAGATAGAATATATTCGTGAAAAACATCGTTCACTGGTTGTGTATTGGTTGTATACTAGTTGTATACTGGTGGTACACTGGTTGTATACTGGTGGTACACTGGTTGTATACTGGTGGTACACTGGTTGTATACTGGTTGTACACTGGTTGTACACTGGTTGTACAGTGGTAGTACACTGGTTGTTCACTGTTTGTACACGGGTAGTACAACATGTTGCTCTCAAAGTTTGTCACAGTAATGATTTAAAAAAAAAATTGTTTATTCTCACTTCTCTACTCTCAACCCTTATCACTGTAACCATCTTTACTACAGACAGCCTGGAACACTATCTACGTTACACACAACTATTTAATCACAGTCACTCCCTACTCCTCTTCTTCTTTTTACACACACACACACACACACACACACACACACACACACACACACACACACACACACACACACACACACACACAAATAATATCGAGTAGTCACCAAGAAGCAATTCAATAGTCCAGCATCCAGCAGACTCTCCAGGAGGTGGAGTTTGTGCCTAACGGGTACCGAGTCATCTCAACATCCAACCTCAAAAAAAAAACAATGGTCTTATTTTGTTCAAATTGGTCTATATTGCTCGGATGATTCCAGGCCCCAATTTCATTTCATTCTTAACATATTTTATTTGTCAGAAATAAGTGCCAATAAAGTGGCTAAAGATAAATAATTCAACACTTTCATTTTCACGTGTGTATGGATATGTGTCCTTGAGAAACTGATCAGTTTTAGTGTTAAATGTGATTGGTTAATTTTGTATATATAACTAATAGTTTTGTTTCAGTGTCGAGAGTGAGCTGCATTAATAGTGTGAATCGACAAATCAGTGTTACTTGGAGCCTGGCCGAGCCTGAGTGCACAGTGCCCAACTACAGCTTGGCATGGAACTCCACTGTCCTATGGGGGTCCAACCAACAAGGTTAGTCTCAATCCCCTGGGACGAAGGAACATGTAACAAATATTGCTTCAGTAATTCATTAGATTAGATTATATCCATTAGATCCATTATCTATTAATGATCCATTAGGTCCATTAGATCCATTATAAATCCATTAAAACCCGTTAGATACGAACAAATAGGATTCATTTTCAAATGAGGCACATAATTTGCATGATTGATTATTGTCTGACAGTATTTTACAATAGAATAATTATTAATTTTTATATTCGTAAGCGAGTTATACAAATCATTATATATAATTTACCCTACAAATAGCATATGGATCTTTTTGGCAAATTCAGTTTAATTTAGAGTAATGGCAATAATTTGTAATCATATAGCTGCCAATAAAAAAATTGACAAAAAATTCACATTTCTATAAGATCATCAAGTGAAACATATTTCACTGGTCATTTGGCCCAAATATTTACATCAAGACATAATGCTCTAAGAGGTCACATGACGTGTTATCGTCTGAACACCAATATCTCACTAACACGTCATGGTAATGGGGTAAATAAGCGGACCTTGGTAATGGGGTCGAGACCAAAAATAGGTCACAGTAATATGGCAGGGACAAATAAAAAAACTGATAATAGGGATGATTATATATATATATATATATATATATATATATATATATATATATATATATATATATATATATATATATATATATATATATATATATATATATATATATATATATATAAACTGAGAAATGGTTCTCTCAGACAGCAAAACTGAGACGGTGAATGGGACGTGGACCGACGCGGTCATCCCGTCCCTGGAGCCCTACACCAGGGTGGACGCCTGCCTGAGTGTGGGCGGTCAGGAGCAGGCGCCCAGGTGCTGCTCGGCCACCACTCTCCAGGAGCGTAAGTACTCAACACTTGCCAGCATCTCTCGTCTGGAAAATAATACATTATGTTCAAATGAAACATTTACGAAGCTTCGGAGCGCCTGATTAGGTACACTGACGTGTGTGTGTGTGCTGCTGGTAGAATATTTAGATCATACGACAGGGGTTTACTCTGTGATTACTAGTGTATACCCGTAGTGTTTCGTGACAGAGGTATACCACGTGTTTTACATGTTATATACATTAGTTAATTATACATTAATTAGTTGTTGCTAAGATCGTCCAGTCCTACTTAACAAAGGCCAACTGCTAGTTAATCCAACTGCCGAAGCCATTGTTTATGAATGAAGAACTCTTTGCAAATTCCTACTTTCGGGGACAGGAATGGACGTCCCCCCTAGGCAAACCACTGACCTTTTACAGGATGCAACCCACAATATTCACCACACTCCCGGGAACCTATTTACCGCCAGGTGAATAGAGATATAAGGTGAAACGAAGCGTGTTCAAACGTTTCAGTCCTGGCACGGGAATCTAACCTGGCACTTATCTAACTTGTGATCCGACTGAGCCGACTATTTCAACCCGTTCTCAGACCAAGTCCATTCCATCCAGCGGTCGACCTCAAAGACGCATTCACCAATTTTAACATGCTGTTCATTCAAAACAGAACTTTTCTCAAATATAAATTAATATAATTATATATTAGCATATTGTTCATATTTTGGCACTGGCACTGGCACTGGCACTGGATTAGGTTAGGTGATTAGGTTCTGTTGGCGATTATTTGTATTTGTAGTACGTGGGTGAAGCATTTACATTGTTGTGGTTCGAAAAAAAAAAGTCGTCAGTGAAGCACTTGTTCCGGAAGTGTTCGTAAGTCATCAGTTGTGAGTCATCACATATATATTTTGTTCAAGAAATTTGGCAAATGATACACTGCTTTTAAGGTGGGTATAGTATAAAAACATATAGGAGGAAATGAACAAGTGTAATTTGAGATTACTTTTAATTAATTGAGATATGGGAACATTTTTGAATTGTTGAGATATTTGAAAATATTTGACAGCTATATGAAAGGTATTTATAAACAGCACCTGCTTTAACAGTGAATATAGTTACATATTTTAAACTAATTTTTAACAAATTTTTAATTTTAAATGAGGTTAAGTTAAATAACATGCAATGTTTTATAATATATAGAAATAACAGTATTTAGTAAGAGTAATTATTAAATAAATATGAATAATTAATAATTAAAGTTCACAATAATAGCAAAGCATAGATTGACATGAAAGATGAGAAGTGAGATCAATTAGATCATAAATTTAATAAAGTAACTCTTAGTTTCTCCTCGAAGCAGCATCAACTGCCATATGTTTAATGCTTCACTCAGCATGAGCACTAACCCTGTGTATCTTGTATTTATATAAAATATGAACCATCATGATCAATGAACTAATCTCCCATGTTAGTGTTTCAATACCGAGATCAACAATTCTATATTGTCTTGAAACTTTATAAATATATTTACGAAATGATTCCAGAAAGCTAATTGTGTCTTCTCTCTTGTTTCACGTTGGCGAGCAGCGGCCTCTGAGCCGACTAACTTGCAGATGGTGAACAGGAGCAGGACTTGGGCCGAGGTCTCTTGGGCCCCGCCTGAGCACCTCAACGGCGTGCAGACGTCCTGGCACCTAACCTGGCGCACCGGCTCTTCCATCGTTAATGAATCAGATATTGCTTTAGGGATTAATAAGCGCGTCATTACAGACCTCCAGCCCGACACTAACTACCTTGTTAGCTTGCAGGTAAAAACAAAACAGAACATTATTTAAGTGTATATATATCTATCTATATAAAGAAAAGTGTAAATGTCCGTTTGTTCAAAATCGGTAATCTACAAAAGTTCTATACAAATTGCTTTGAAATTTTGACGCAACGTTCAAAACTCGCATCCGAGTGAGTTTATATATATATATATATATATATATATATAGGCCAAATTTGCCTAATATTATATATATATATATATATATATATATATATATTTTTTTTTTGAAAAGGGTACCACATTACTGGTTTAATTAAAGGGACCCACATCCTCGAAGAAGAAAATAAATAGTGTTCAGAGAAGACCTTGTGGATTCTCATTGAATACTTTAATCTTTTCCTCTCCTATTAGGCAAACCTTGCATAGTAGGCTGAGAAGTGCGTAATGCTACTAGGTATATTATATATATATATATATATATATATATATATATATATATATATATATATATATATATATATATATATATATATATATATATATATATAAGCCTATACTTGCATAAACCACAAGTGAAGATTAACAATCTTTGGACAACACCCACCAGTGGGACTCGAACCCAGAAAGCACAACTACCTTCCAGTAGCTGCCATAACTAGTATGCTTTAACCCACTACACCATCAGACCCTACAAAAGAAGTAGAGACTTTGTATATATATCAAAGATGTATATATATCTCGAAGTCTCTACTTCTTTTGTAGGGTCTGATGGTGTAGTGGGTTAAAGCATACTAGTTATGGCAGCTACTGGAAGGTAGTTGTGCTTTCTGGGTTCGAGTCCCACTGGTGGGTGTTGTCCAAAGATTGTATATATATATATATATATATATATATACGTCTGTCACGGTAAACAATTTTTTTTTTTGAGGGGGGAGGGGGGGAGAAACATCACCATCTGTTGGACGTAAGAGCAACACACGCTGTACTCTTTTGAAAGTTCTTCACCAATTGCTTTGAAATTTTGATACAACGTTCCATTAGAATATGCGCGTGTTTTTATATACTTACTATATAGATGCCAAACCTGTGACAGGTAAAAACATGCTTTTTTTAAAACAGTGCCATCTGTTCGGCGTAATAGAAACACACGGTATACTACATATGTTACGGTTCTATTTCAGTGTTTCCGATTGCATTGGCAAAGTGATTTTTCATAGGTTTCGATTTATTTTAATTTTAATATAAATGTTTTGTGTGACATTGCACTGGAGTTGAGCTGTGCTGTTTACCATACCGTTCATTTCGTGAGTATAAGTACAGATGCCTCACCTGTGACAGGTAAAAACATGCCAGGTAGTTGTTTGTCATGATCTCTGTTTATAGGTTGGTCTTCCCCGAGCATTCATTGTATTGCTAGGCACTCTTGTGGATGATGATTTATACCAGTCTTCATTGTAGTTTGGAAACTATTATCTCCCCCATTTAGGCCTTGCTGTTTTCCTCGCTCGGTATTTAACGAGACCGCTTGATCTGTTTGTCTTAGTTGCCGAGCTGTCTCTACTTTCGTGTGATTCACTAGTTAATGTCTTCTTTTCTCCCAGGATCTACCTGGCATAGCTGTTAATCTCTCCCTAATCTCGTGTGATTCACTAGTTACTCCTTCATTTCCAGGCTCGCAATGTTGCAGGACTCGGAGCTCAAGCAAACATTAGCTTCATCACTCTTCCAGACATTCAGTCAAAGAGTAACGTCGGAGTGATTGTTGGGGCTTCTGTTGGCGGAGTGGTGCTGCTGGTGCTGCTAGTGGGAGGCTTTACCTTCTACTTCACCAGGAGGTACAATAGAAGCGATGACTCCGATCGGTCCGGCTCTGTGTAAGTATTACTAACATCCTCAATTTTGTGACGAAATACGTTATTTTTGTATGTGAAGGTTTTTAATGATGTTTAACTTACCGAAAAAGTAGAGAGAGATGTTTGTAAACAGTGGTAGGAGGAGAGGAGATCAGTGGGGAAAGTAGAAACTCATTCTAGGTAGTGATCAGCTAGACCCACCTCTTCTCCTCTGTGTAACTAGCAAGCTTATGTTAGAAGCTAGCGATACCATTTGCCTCTATGGTGTTGGTGGCAACCTATTTATCTGGTCTACCTCCATGTTGCCATACCATACCTGCTCATGTCATTCCTTAACCTCAGCTTCTCTCGCGGACCCAGTCAGTTAATTTCAAGACCTTACTTGTATATCTGCTGTGTTGATGTCCCATATTCACTTATAGACCTCGATAATGTGCCTCCTCGCGCCTGTGGCTCTCCCTGGACAAGCTGAGCTTCAGTGGTAAAGAGCAATCGACAAGCAGGAATAGCTATAAAAAGAAATAGTTTAGGCAAACTCCATATAATGTCAAGTTGAAATAGTAACTACGACAAAATATTAAATGTACGAGATTCACTACATTGCCCGCTGGCCACAGAATTATTATTATATTATTTTGCATCTCTTGTATCTTTGTATCTTTGGATTATTTTGTATCTCTTGTAAGGCTTTCTGATCCAATTTCATTTCTTCAGTCCGGTATGATCGCTTCAGCTTCTGCTCGCTTACTTTAATCTTCCAGTTTAGTTTTTGGGGGGAGAGTCGTGTATGATTAAGGCTTTTTCGTTATTTTATCCTTCTTCTTCTTCTGTAGTGTCGTCTGCGTTCTCTTTCTGACCGTCAACAAAGGAACATGTTTCAAGCAGACTTTGTACGCTTCGGCAGACAGTTGTCTTATTCATTGTTTGGAAGTCTTGTTACTTAAGACAGTTTCTAAATGGATGTTTGCAAGTTCTATGTATATTTTTACCTAGTCAATCTACGGGCTCACCATAGCCCGTGTTACTTGGAACTTTTTGTTCCAGGTAGCGAATCTTTAACAACAACAACAACCTAGTCAATCCTCTTATTATTAAAATTACATTTATTGAATAACCCTTCTCGCTTGATATTTTTTTTAGACCTATTACGAGTATTGATGCTAGTTTGCACTTTAGTGAGCTTGTGACCCGAGTATGTGGTATCTGAGATTGTAATGTTCCTGATTATTTCTGAAGATCAGATCACATTTGTTTGTAAAGATCAGATCTAGAGTACTTTTGTTCCTAGTTGGCTCCGTTATCAGCTGTTGAGCGAAAATTTGTTACAGAATGTAAGCAGTTCTCTGACTTATAGTTGGTTATTTTCAGGTATATTTCCTGCTATAATGTTATTGTTTACTATTCTCCCTATTTGACTGGGCAGATTGAAGTCTGCAAGGAAGATAAATTAAAAAATAAACTCGATAATCTACCAAATCCAACACCAATTATTGTACGCAGTCTTCAACTCGCCAAGTCGAATACGGAGACCAGCAAAACAATAGCATTATACGCTTCCTTTAACTCTAACTTTTCTAATAACTCTGAGATACGCTTTCTTAAACTTTCTCAGTATAAATGTAATTAATAACAATACCCACAACTCCTACAACTGAAGCTACAGGAAGTGAAGACGGTTCGGTCCTACCTTGAGGTTACTTTGAGGTGCTTCCGGGGGCTTAGCGTCCCCGCGGCCCGGTCGTCGACCAGGCCTTCTGGTTGCTGGACTGATCAACCAGGCTGCTAGACGCGGCTGCTCGCAGCCTGACGTATAAAAACGTATGTCCGTCCTGGCCCAAGTCGTGTCAAAAAAAGGTGGAAAGTTAATATATTATTTATACTACTTTACTCTCTCACTCTATACCCGGTGTGATGGTGGTCCACCACGGACTGGAATGTCCATAATTCCTTTATTTACAGATATGTCTAATTATGTCTAGTGTTCTGTCTAATTTTCAGGCGTTATTGTGATTTACTATCTGAATAATAATTATAATTACAACATTAATAATAACGATAATTATATATTTTAGGTTAGAAAATCGAGATCAACAATACGTGAGACGCGAGTCACAAGCGTTTGGCGGGCGGCGGCCCTCGGGAGCGAACAATGGGAGCAGCGTTAATGGAGATGTTTACCAGGGAGGCAGACGGCCGTCCCAGGCGCAATATGCAAAAAGAATGAGCCAGGCTAGTGTTGATCCTTGGAAGGGTCCATCGCAAGCCCTCGGCGCAAGAAAATATAGTCAAGCTTATCTTGAACAAAGACGTCAGTCACAGGCGCCTTCTACAGCAGGAATTCTCGGTGATAGTCATGGACAGAGACGTCCGTCACAGGCGCCTTCTACAGCAGGAATTCTCGATGATAGTCATGGACAGAGACGTCCGTCACAGGCGCCTTCTACAGCAGGAATTCTCGATGATAGTCATGGACAGAGACGTCCGTCACATCCTACAACCAGAACTCTTGATGTTGATCTTGGGCAGAGACGTCCGTCACATCCTACAACCGAAAATATAGATGTTAACCATGGACAGAGGCGCCCGTCTCAGGTACCTACTGCAAGCGGAAGTGACTACACGCACTATGGAGAAAGGCGTAAGTCTCAAGTAGGCGATGCAAGAAGAAGTAGTGAGGCCTACCCGGGTTTGAGACGTTCCTCGCAGGCGCCTGCTCCAGGCCGACTTGGCCCTGGTCACTCTGGACCACGGCGCGCCTCCGAGGCCGCCATAGGAAAAGATATTGAAAAGAATTATCTTCCAAGAGACAGACGGGCTTCAGCGGCACCTGGTGTAGGTAACCGCGAAGGCCCAAGCTACCTTGATCAGAGACGGGCTTCAGCGGCTCCTGGTGTAGGTAACCGTGAAGGTCCGAGCTACCTTGATCAGAGACGGGCTTCAGCGGCTCCTGGTGTAGGTAACCGTGAAGGTCCGAGCTACCTTGATCACAGACGGGCTTCAGCGGCTCCTGGTGTAGGTAACCGTGAAGGCCCAAGCTACCTTGATCACAGACGGGCTTCAGCGGCTCCTGGTGTAGGCAATAGAGGAAACCCGAATTTCCCTGGACAGAGACGCGCTTCAGAAATGCCCGGTAGAAGCTATTATGAAATGCAAAGTTACCCCAAACAATGACGTGTGGGAGGCATTTGAGACTCGAGACCAACCTGACCCGAAGGAACAGTCCGAGGGAACACCAACACAACACCATCTCCTATAAATGAATACTATTGTAACAAAAAATGCAATAAATATCTATTCAACAGAATGTCTGTCCGTCTAAGATTGAAGGCCAGAAGATGTGAGATAGTTCCGCCAAAATCTGCAGGTAGCCTTTCTGATGTTAGAGGTAGTGTGGGGGCTTCTGTGTTATGTCCCTTGTGTAGCCATCCTCATGTCTTGTGGGGCCTCAGTCTTATATATTATGTTATTTTGGCAATACTTCTATGCCCGCCCCACATAGTCTGGTGGGTAAAGTGAGCGTCCCGTGTGTTGCAGGGCTGGTGTTCGATCCCCCGATGATCTAGAAAGTGTAGCGCCGTTCCTTCTCACTGTTCACATATCCCAGATCCTGGGCCTCATATCCCTGGCTGAGCGGTTGCTCCTCATAATTACTTTTCTCTTCTGAAGCTGGTGAAGGGAACTTTCTCACGGGATTATTACTGAAGCCTTAATCAGTCTTCTGTCATTACTTCAGACTTTTTTGTACATTGTATCAGCCTCTCATCATGAATGAGTTAGACTTCGCGTCATAGTGAAGTGGCTTATTATTCAATCCATTCCTCATTATTAATGCCTTAAGCCACCAAGCTTAAAGCTCTACCATGAGGTAGAGCTTTAAGCTTGGTGATATTACGTTATCCATTATGTAATTATACCAACGTACGGTAGCTTGGTCAGCTTTACCTGGTAATGTAAATATTTAATTACTTCATCCTTAGCGCGCTATGTAAGATTTAAGTCTTGTGCAATGTAAGCCCGGAGGCAATATAAGAGCCTTAAGTTATCACATAAACCAGTAAACCATTTGAAAAAAAACTTTAATTGGTAGAATTAAGGCCTTAGGGCTGTTGTAAAAAGCCTTAAGAATTAAGATATATTACCATGCCCCAAGGCCTTTTATAATGACTAAGATTTATATACTGTATTAGTCTCTTAGTTATACTGTATTAGTTTTTTTTGGTGATTTTATAGTGACCAAAGACTTATATCATTATAAAACCCATTGTTTCATTTATAATCTTTTGGGTCATTATATATATATTCCCCTGTTTATGAATGAAAAACTGTTTACACACCACTTACCAACCCGTCCTCGACTCAAGTCCATTACATCCAGCGGTCGACCCCACAGACGCCTTCATAAATTTGTAAATGCTGTTCATTCATAACAGGAATTTTCTCAAAATTAATATCATAATATATTAGCATATTGTGCATCTATAGGCATAGGTAAGGTTAGGTTAGATGTTTAGGTTCTGTTGGCGATTATTTGTATTTGTAGTACGTGGGTGAAGCATTTATAGCGTTGTGGTTCGAACAAAATTCGTCAGTGAAGCACTTGTTCCGGAAGTGTTCGAACGTCAACAGATGTGAGTCGTGTGTAAACTGTTTTTCATTAATAAACAGCGGGTGCATGGAATCACTTTTAGGTCTTTGTTTGGAGGACTGGCTGGTATTTGAAGTACGTGGGTGAAACATTTCTTGCGTTCCTGTTCGAACAGAGGTCGTCAGCGAAGCATTGTTCGAGAAATGTTCAAACGTTATCAGGTGTGAGTCGTTTGTAAACCTTTATTCCTAGAAAAGCGGGGAGTTTGGCGGCTGGATTAACGAGCATTTGCCCATTGTTTATGAGGACGGTCTGAACCCATCCCCCAAGGGCACACGACCGTAATCTGGTGACGTCATAGCGGTTTACTCACCCGAAGTGTTAGGGGTTCGGGTAAGCGAACCTCTCTCCGATGTCATGAAGCATCATCACACTACGGAGCCAGTCACTGTCAGTTGCCCCAACCGTGACGTTGACGTCCCTCTCGCTATGACGGCCAGAGAAACTGTGGCCCGGGACCGTGCACACGGTGAAGAAATTACACACAGTTCCATCACCATCACTGTCTCTGACACGACACGATCTTAGTCTTTCAAGAATACTACGCCTTTCCACCAGCCTATTCTTCAAAACATGATTTCTGTAAATCATGACATTCAAAAGGTAAGATTCATTAGTTTTCCAGTACACTAGTGACGCTGGGTCATCGTTTAACCCTGTACCCGAGAGCTTACCCCGAACGTGGTCAACCAAAGATAGTATTAGCGTAAATTTCTCGGTGAACGTTCGATAAACTCTAAATAATCATTATATATTGTGTCACTATATATCGTGAAGGCAGCACACAACGTTGCGTAGAGAGGAGATGGTGTTTATTAGGGATATCCAGACAGGTATTAAATTTTCTGTATTTTTAAACTAGTTATCCATTCCGAAGAAACAAAGAAAATGGATTTATGTAAATTCTCTTGAGAGAAAACGGTAAGACTAGCTACCACAATATTGGGTAAAAATCGCGCAAACTATGATATTCAACCTTGTGTGGAGTAAAGATTGTGTGTAGTGACACTATTGCATAGTGAAGATAACGATTAGTGTGGAGCATGCTTAATTATATTGTGTAGTGGAAATCATGAGTCGTGAAGATTATGAATAGCGATGATTCTAGACTATGTTGTTAAGATCTTGTTGAACAACGACCTTGAATATTAACTTGTTTCCGTAACAAACTTTAAATAAAATCGTATAGTGCGGACTGCTGTGTTGTAAAGTTTGGGTTATAGTGAGTGTAGTAATGTGTAGAGGCCCGCCAGGAGGGCCTGCAATGTTTACAGATGCTGGTGTCAGCACGGCTGCTGGTGTCTGGTGCTGTTTAGTGATAGCCTCAAGAGTTATATAATTAGAAGCTTTCTGGACCTTTTTTCTCTGTACTTAAGGGAAAAAAATTAGTTTTGGAATTAGGTGTTGAGACGATGGAGGACTGGAGAGGAAGCTGTGAGGCAAGCATCGTCTACAGTGGGAAGGTGTGTGTGTCTCTCATAGTTCCCAGCATCTTCCCATCCTCCCCACACCCCTCTCCGGTCCTGCCTCACACCCCTGAGCTACTCTACCCATCCTCAAGCTGTGCTTGCCCAAGCTGGGGCTGACCCATCCTCACGCTGTGCTTGCGCAAGCTGGGGCTGACCCTGACCCATCCTCACGCTGTGCTTGCCCAAGCTGGGGCTGACCCATCCTCACGCTGTGCTTGCGCAAGCTGGGGCTGACCCTGACCCATCCTCACGCTGTGCTTGCCCAAGCTGGGGCTGACCCTGACCCATCCTCACGCTGTGCTTGCCCAAGCTGGGGCTGACCCTGACCCATCCTCACTCTGTGCTTGCCCAAGCTGGGGCTGACCCTGACCCATCCTCACGCTGTGCTTGCCCAAGCTGGGGGCTGACCCTGACCCATCCTCACGCTGTGCTTGCCCAAGCTGGGGCTGACCCTGACCCATCCTCACGCTGTGCTTGCCCAAGCTGGGGGCTGACCCTGACCCATCCTCACTTTGTGCTTGCCCAAGCTGAGGGCTGACCCTGACCCATCCTCACTCTGTGCTTGCCCAAGCTGGGGCTGACCCTGACCCATCCTCACTCTGTGCTTGCCCAAGCTGGGGCTGACCCTGACCCATCCTCACTTTGTGCTTGCCCAAGCTGGGGCTGACCCTGACCCATCCTCACGCTGTGCTTGCCCAAGCTGGGGGCTGACCCTGACCCATCCTCACTCTGTGCTTGCCCAAGCTGGGGGCTGACCCTGACCCATCCTCACTTTGTGCTTGCCCAAGCTGGGGCTGACCCTGACCCATCCTCACGCTGTGCTTGCCCAAGCTGGGGCTGACCCTGACCCATCCTCACGCTGTGCTTGCCCAAGCTGGGGCTGACCCTGACCCATCCTCACTCTGTGCTTGCCCAAGCTGGGGGCTGACCCTGACCCATCCTCACTCTGTGCTTGCCCAAGCTGGGGGCTGACCCTGACCCATCCTCACTCTGTGCTTGCCCAAGCTGGGGGCTGACCCTGACCCATCCTCACTCTGTGCTTGCCCAAGCTGGGGGCTGACCCTGACCCATCCTCACTCTGTGCTTGCCCAAGCTGGGGCTGACCCTGACCCATCCTCACGCTGTGCTTGCCCAAGCTGGGGCTGACCCTGACCCATCCTCACGCTGTGCTTGCCCAAGCTGGGGCTGACCCTGACCCATCCTCACGCTGTGCTTGCCCAAGCTGGGGCTGACCCTGACCCATCCTCACGCTGTGCTTGCCCAAGCTGGGGCTGACCCTGACCCATCCTCACTTTGTGCTTGCCCAAGCTGGGGCTGACCCTGACCCATCCTCACGCTGTGCTTGCCCAAGCTGGGGCTGACCCTGACCCATCCTCACTCTGTGCTTGCCCAAGCTGGGGCTGACCCTGACCCATCCTCACGCTGTGCTTGCCCAAGCTGGGGCCGAATCTAAAATAAGTTATTTATCTTAGAAAATATAAATTTATATGATTATATACAGTATATAGCTAGGTCTATTTATTTTGGTGTTTTGGTTCCACTGGCAACTGCTTTTAATTGTATGACGTCGGCGACGGCTTTAGAAAAATGTGATCCAAGTGCAGGAAGAGAGTCGAACACTGCTCAAGAAAAGTTCGAACGCACAAAGTTGTGAGTCGTGTGTGTAGTGTTTTTCATTCATAAACAGGGGGTTTGCCGGCTGGATTAAAGAGCATTTAGCAATTGTGTATGAGGACGCGCTCATCCACACCACCTCCAGCTGATTACGTTCCAAGTTTTCTCTAAAAGTTCCTTGTTTACTTCTTGGGTTCGAATCCCACATCATTTAATGCTTCATTTATATACCGCGATAATATATAATTACCAACAGAACTGTAACAAATAACCTAACTGAGAGCTAACTATACACGCAATTCTAATATATAATAAAATTAATTTATATGAGAATATTATTGATTCTGAATACTCGGTTCCGTAACATTGTGGAATGTGTCATTTTGAGGTTCTGATGGGGGGGGGGGGGGGACTTGGCCGAGCACGGCTAGAGGTGGTCGGGCGGGGACTTGGCCGAGCACGGCTGGAGGTGGTCGGGCGGGGACTTGGCCGAGCACGGCTGGAGGTGGTCGGGCGGGGACTTGGCCGAGCACGGCTGGAGGTGGTCGGGCGAGGACTTGGCCGAGCACGGCTGGAGGTGGTCGGGCGGGGACTTGGCCGAGCACGGCTGGAGGTGGTCGGGCGGGGACTTGGCCGAGCACGGCTGGAGGTGGTCGGGCGGGGACTTGGCCGAGCACGGCTGGAGGTGGTCGGGCGGGGACTTGGCCGAGCACGGCTGGAGGTGGTCGGGCGGGGCTTGGCCGAGCACGGCTGGAGGTGGTCGGGCGGGGACTTGGCCGAGCACGGCTGGAGGTGGTCGGGCGGGGGCTTGGCCGAGCACGGCTGGAGGTGGTCGGGCGGGGACTTGGCCGAGCACGGCTGGAGGTGGTCGGGCGGGGGCTTGGCCGAGCACGGCTAGAGGTGGTCGGGCGGGGGCTTGGCCGAGCACGGCTGGAGGTGGTCGGGCGGGAACTTGGCCGAGCACGGCTGGAGGTGGTCGGGCGGGAACTTGGCCGAGCACGGCTGGAGGTGGTCGGGCGGAGGCTTGGCCGAGCACGGCTGGAGGTGGTCGGGCGGAGGCTTGGCCGAGCACGGCTGGAGGTGGTCGGGCGGGGACTTGGCCGAGCACGGCTGGAGGTGGTCGGGCGGGGACTTGGCCGAGCACGGCTGGAGGTGGTCGGGCGAGGACTTGGCCGAGCACGGCTGGAGGTGGTCGGGCGGGGACTTGGCCGAGCACGGCTGGAGGTGGTCGGGCGGGGCTTGGCCGAGCACGGCTGGAGGTGGTCGGGCGGGGACTTGGCCGAGCACGGCTGGAGGTGGTCGGGCGGGGACTTGGCCGAGCACGGCTGGAGGTGGTCGGGCGGGGACTTGGCCGAGCACGGCTGGAGGTGGTCGGGCGGGGACTTGGCCGAGCACGGCTGGAGGTGGTCGGGCGGGGACTTGGCCGAGCACGGCTGGAGGTGGTCGGGCGGGGACTTGGCCGAGCACGGCTGGAGGTGGTCGGGCGGGGACTTGGCCGAGCACGGCTGGAGGTGGTCGGGCGGAGGCTTGGCCGAGCACGGCTGGAGGTGGTCGGGCGGGGACTTGGCCGAGCACGGCTGGAGGTGGTCGGGCGGGGACTTGGCCGAGCACGGCTGGAGGTGGTCGGGCGGGGACTTGGCCGAGCACGGCTGGAGGTGGTCGGGCGGGGACTTGGCCGAGCACGGCTCGAGGTGGTCGGGCGGGGACTTGGCCGAGCACGGCTGGAGGTGGTCGGGCGGGGACTTGGCCGAGCACGGCTCGAGGTGGTCGGGCGGGGACTTGGCCGAGCACGGCTGGAGGTGGTCGGGCGGGGACTTGGCCGAGCACGGCTGGAGGTGGTCGGGCGGGGACTTGGCCGAGCACGGCTGGAGGTGGTCGGGCGGGGACTTGGCCGAGCACGGCTGGATAAACAACAATGACATTACATCTTCATCATTGAGCTGCGTTTTGATGCCTTTACGGCTCTGAACACCTTTGCTTTCCCCTGTGTGTGCTTTGTTATTGAGAGTTCTTCCTGTGCTCGCGTTGATCTGGCTCACAACGGGTGCTATCACCGCCCATGACAGCTCCTGTTGGTGGTAACTACGTTTTCCGTTCTGTTTAATGATGATTTTACAAGTGATGAGTTTGCTTGTGCTACAACGGAGACTGTTTGCTCTTTTGAAGTTGATTAATAAACTCTAGTACTGAGTTACGTCTCTTTTTTCTTTCTGCTGTATACACTATTCGACGTTGTATTGCGTTATCTGATTATAAAATAAATATATAGTTCATATATGTTCATATATAGTTTATTTAATCGCTGCTGTAATTACATTACCCGATCTACACAGCCAATTAGGCCTCAGGTGAGGGACAGGTTCAACACGAGTCGTGTTCATCACTTGACTCCATATATGACCCCTCATATATGAGGGGTTGACCCCGGATGAGGGGTTGGTTAACCCCTCATCCGGGGTTAACCAACGTCACAGCCCACGCTCCTGTGCCGGGTAAGTCCACTTCGGGCTCACCATAGCCCGTGCTACTTTTGAACTTGTGTTCTAAGTAGCTGAATCTAAGACAACAACAATAGGGGGTTAACCACAGTTGACGTCATTATCCCTTGGTTCTGGCTCTATCGCCGGGTGTATCTGGCTCAATCGCTGGGTGTATCTAGCTCTATCGCTGGGTGTATCTAGCTCTATCGTTGGGTGTTTCTGGCTCTATCGCTGGGTGTATCTAGCTCTATCGTTGGGTGTATCTAGCTCTATCGTTGGGTGTTTCTGGCTCTATCGCCGGGTGTATCTGGCTCTATCGCTGGGTGTTATCTGGCTCTATCGCCGGGTGTATCTGGCTCTATCTGGGTGTATCTGACTCTAGCCCCTGGGTGTATCTGGCTCTATCGCTGGGTGTATCTGACTCTAGCCCCTGGGTGTATCTAGCTCTAGCCCCTGGGTGTATCTGGCTCTAGCTCTATCCCTGGGTGTATCTGACTCTAGTCCCTGGGTGTATCTAGCCCCTGGGTGTATCTGGCTCTATAGCCCCTGGGTGTATCTGGCTCTATCCCTGGGTGTATCTAGCTCTAGCCCCTGGGTGTATCTAGCTCTAGCCCCTGGGTGTATCTGGCTCTAGCCCCTGGGTTTATCTAGCTCTAGCCCCTGGCTCTACTCCCTGGGTGTATCTGACTCTAGCCCCTGGGTGTATCTAGCTCTAGCCCCTGGGTGTATCTAGCTCTAGCCCCTGGGTGTATCTGGCTCTATCCCTGGGTGTATCTAGCTCTAGCCCCTGGGTGTATCTAGCTCTAGCCCCTGGGTGTATCTGGCTCTATCCCTGGGTGTATCTAGCTCTAGCCCCTGGGTGTATCTAGCTCTAGCCCCTGGGTGTAACTGGCTCTAGCCCCTGGGTTTATCTAGCTCTAGCCCCTGGCTGTATCTAGCACTAGCCCCTGGGTGTATCTAACTCTAGCCCCTGGGTGTAACTGGCTCTAGCCCCTGGGTGTATCTAGCTCTAGCCCCTGGGTGTATCTAGCTCTAGCCCCTGGGTGTATCTAGCTCTAGCCCCTGGGTGTAACTGGCTCTAGCCCCTGGGTGTATCTAGTTCTAGCCCCTGGGTGTATCTAGCACTAGCCCCTGGGTGTATCTAACTCTAGCCCCTGGGTGTATCTGGCTCTAGCCCCTGGGTGTATCTAGCACTAGCCCCTGGGTGTATCTGGCTCTAGCCCCTGGGTGTATCTAGCTCTAGCCCCTGGGTGTATCTGGCTCTAGCCCCTGGGTGTATCTGGCTCTAGCCCTGGGTGTATCTGGTTCTATCGCCAGGTGTATTTGGCTCTATCGTCGGGTGTATCTGGCTTTATCGCTGGGTGTATCTGGCTCTATCGCTGGGTGTATCTGGCTCTATCGCCGGGTGTATCTGGCTCTAACGCCGGGTGTATCTGGCTTTATCGCTGGGTGTATCTGGCGCTAGGCCTGGGTGTATCTGGCTCTGTTTGCGACCTGGGTCTAACAATACTAGCTCCACCTTTCCCTCCCCCCCCCACCTTTACCACAGGTACACCTCACTGAAGTTAACTATGTCATGACCTGACTGTTAAAAAGCTTTCCACACAATCGCTGCTGTCAAATCCTGGGACCAGCTGGCCTGGCCAGGTGGTGACTATAGACTCTTAATACCACTCGCCCACTTCATCCCTCCCTCCCCCCCCCCAAGTAAGCACCCCCCTTAGAGCCAGCATATTTTATATATATTATATATATATATATATATATATATATATATATATATATATATATATATATATATATATATATATATATATATATATATATATATATATATATATATATATATATGTTATTCAACACCATTTTTCTACCATAAATATTCTTTCAATACGACGCGGTTGGTGCAGACCCTTTTAGCAGACTCTTGTATAAATCTGCGTAAGTGTTATGGGCGACTCATGCACGGCATGCACAGGGACCTTCCTGGAAGCTTCAGGGGCTCACGTCACGTCTGCTGAGAGTGGTGCTCTAGATATTATATATATTACCCAGGGGAAAAAAATGATTTGTTATTGATTCCGTAAAGGTCTTGTGTTAAGACTGTTGTGTGTAGATGCTTGTGGTATATGGTAATGAGTTTTACGACTCGAGAGATGTGTGTGTGATGCAGGAGAGGTATGTGTGGGGTCCGGTTGTGTCCGGTGATGTCGCCTCCTGTCCTGTACATCATTTTATCGTCCCTTCCCTCTCCCCCTTTTTACTTCCTCCAAATTCTTCTCCCTTGCACCCTTGCACCCTTTCCCACCCCTCTCTTTCGAGCTCTCCCTTCTTTTCCATCCCTCCTCCAACCCCATCTTCCCCTTGCGTCCTTCCCCTCCCCACTCCTCGGCACCCCTTCTCCCTCTTAGCCCCCCTCTCATCCTCTCCCCTCCTCCACTCTTCTCTCAACTCTCCCCCTCTCTTTCCCTCTCAATCTTCCCCTCCGACCCTCTCCACCTCCCCACCTTCCTGACCTCTCACTTTCTGTAAATTACAGTTTACGAGGTCCTGAAACTGTTAAATAATACTATGAAAAACACAATTTCTATTTCGAACTTTATGAAAATCGTAGGGAAGAGGGGGGGGGTATTGCATTGTTTTGATATTTCTGAAATTGTGGCACTGGTGCCAACCCCCAATTGGCCTATGACACTCCTAAGCCACAATGCTTCAGTCTGGAGAGTTGAGTGTGGCTGGTCCCAAGTGTTCGGCCCTCATCCTCGAAGATGCTTTTATAGATACTAGAAGAGGCACTCGGGTGAGTTTGGGGTCTCTCTCTCTCTCTCTCTCTCTCTCTCTCTCTCTCTCTCTCTCTCTCTCTCTCTCTCTCTCTCTCTCTACCAGTCTCCCCCTGTCTCACTTCTCTTTCCCTTCCTCCCGTCTTCTTTCTCCACTCTCTCCTCTCCTCTATTTCTCAGAATGTTAATACTGTACTGAATTGACGTTTACTGTTTTCGAATCTTGAAGTCTAAGGCCTCGGCGAGCAATATTCAACTAATTTTATATGGGAGGTCACCATGGGGCCCGACCCCCGACCCTCCTCAAAATGGGACCACAGGATTCATCCCGACCAGCCTTTGACAGTCCCGTACCACAGACCATTCATCATGCAAAGTTGGTTGAGACTAGGCCCCCAAATGTCTGGCCTCCAATCCCAGACAATCTCTCCTCTTCTCGTGAGGAGGAGTAGAGGTGAGGTGACAATAGAAGAGGTGAGGTAGGGAATTTTTTTTACATACTTTATCAATGTGTAAAGGGAAGCAAATATTCCCAAGCTATTGTGTGTTGTTATAAAATTCTTGTTAATGAACGTTTAAATCCTCTACAACAAAACAAGGCATTTGGAACCAAAACACAGAACTCGGTGACTAACACCTTAAATATTTCCAAATAAGTCTACATAAACTAAATTTCTCAACACAAGTTCTTGTTAAATTAACCTCTCTTGATGACAAACTGCAAAAGTCAGTATATTTAATTGTAAATTGATTTGCAAAAAAAAAAAAAAACAGATACTGATTTTTTTTGTATTCCAAGCCATTTTGGAAATGGTGAGAACAATTTACAATAAAAAGTTTGCACAAAAGTTGAAACGGCGTCCCTCTCAATAATACGACAAGATCTGAGAAGAAATACTTATTTGCAAAGGATTTAGAATCCCGGATCCCAGCTGCTTTCTCATCTACCATTTACTGGAGAATATAATATCCAGCTTGTTAGCTGGATATTATTATAATATTGATTTTTCTGTGCAACACTGCGTTTTTAATTATATAAATATGGAAAGAGGATTTGTTTAACTTACTGGATAGGATTGATATCATAAACACAAGACACTATATATATTGTGACGGTAACGCGTTGGTGTTCGGCTGTTCAAAAGCTAGGGGTATGGCCTCGTCACATATAGAAACAAAAAAAGAAAATCTGGAACTTCGTCTGTGGTAAGGTAATGAGAAGACACAAAACACAAGTAAATTTAACAATGAAATTTTAATTACGTTAGAAAAGCAAAACATGAATAAAATGGACATACAAATTCGTATAATAAAATCAATCAATCAAAATAATAAGAATAATCAAATGACAAAATGAAAAGTTACGTTAAGACAAGTGAGTAATAACAAGTGAGCAATATACAATCAAATAAGAGGTGCAGGAATATTGGCTTTAAGCTATCACCTCTCTTAGTACACGTAAGCCACAGCTTAGTCTACCAACGAGACGTGTTAACCTGATGAAACCACTGGATATTCTGAGATCTGGTGGTCGTGTGGCCCCAGACATCAAGTAGTGTGGTGGGTGGAGTGCAGTTGCAACTGGACCCGCAGCCAATCAGCGATGAGCAGGCGACAAGACAGGTAGTTTGGTGGTTCGAGGTGGAGCAGGTGTTCCTGGCTGCATACGTTTTGTGCTTCTGGCAAAACTTGGTGTTGTTGTCGTTGTTGGATATTTCATCCATACTAGTTTTATATAGATGTATATATCGACGTACTTTGGAGGGAAGAGCAGGCTCAATCTCTTGAAGGAGATTATCGTCACAATATATATATATATATTCCGTGCTGAAATGATTATGTAGTTGGAAAAATATAGATTAAACTGGTTTTATTGCAAAGGAATGACTAATGATGGCGTTGTAAATACGACAGAAAGATTAATGAGGATGTAAGAACAATATAAGACGCAGCAGATAATGACAGTATTGAGAATCAGTTTTAATTCAGCGTAAAGATTTAGCGTCCAAGGTTATTACAGTTTGCTTTCAGTGATGATTCTTTGAAACTTGCTTAAAGTGGTTAGCATCATTACAGGATCTCACTGATCACTCACCTGTTTGAAAGATTGTGTTTAAAAAAGGATGCTGTTCATCTTAGGACGGAGATACATTATATATATGTTGACCAGACCACACACTAGAAATTGAAGGGACGACGACGTTTCGGTCCGTCCTGGACCATTCTCAAGTCGATTGTCTTGACTTGACCATTCTCAAGTCGATTATATATATATATGTCGTACCTAGTAGCCAGAACGCACTTATTGGCCTACTATGCAAGGCCCGATTTGCCTAATAAGCCAAGTTTTCATGAATTAAATGTTTTTCGACTACCTAACCTACCTAACCTAACCTAACTTTTTCGGCTACCTAACCAAACCTAACCTATAAAGATAGGTTAGGTTAGGTTAGGTAGGGTTGATTAGGTTCGGTCATATATCTACGTTTATTTTAACTCCAATAAAAGAAAATTGACCTCATACATAATGAAATGGGTAGCTTTATCATTTCATAAGAAAAAAAATAGAGAAAATATATTAATTCATGAAAACTTGGCTTATTAGGCAAATCGGGCCTTGCATTGTAGGCTGAAAAGTGAGTTCTGGCTACTAGGTACGACATATATATATATATATATATATATATATATTCTGGAAAAAAGTCTGATTTTGGAGATTATTTGGTATTGACAACTTGGTAAAGAAGTTCTTATGTTTATCAGACATTTTTCCATGTTAAAATGAACTAAATTTGAAACTTCAGCGATGCTACGATATCAACACCTTCTCTGGAGTGAGGTGTGTGGCGATAGCGACCCCATCTATGGGACCTCTTCTCCAGCTCCAAGGCATTAGGGAAGACAAAGACCATTGGCCAGATTCACGTAAGCACTTACGCAAGCACTTACGAACGTGTACATCTTTCCTCAATATTTGACGGCTTTGGTTCCATTTATTAAACAGTTTACAAGCATGAAAACTTTCCATTCAACTGTTGTTATTGTTATAAACAGCCTCCTGGTGCTTCGGAGCTTATTAACTGTTTAATAATTAGAAACAAAACCGCCAAAGATTGAGAAAAGATGTACAGGTTCGTAAGTGTTTGCGTAAGTGCTTTCGTGAATCTGGCCCCATTTGTTGACGGAGGTGTGGCAAGTTCACCACCATCTGTTGACGGAGGTGTGGCCAGTAAACTCTCTCTGTGTATATACACCGAGTGTATATAAATAGTGTGTATATACAGTGTGTATATACACTACTTGGTATACATTACCCCTCGACCACCAGTGTTGAACACAAAGACTTTAAACAACACTTGGTCGTAATCCATGACAAAAGGATCAAGTTATGTAATATTGAGAATCTAACGTCAGTACCAATTATTATTATATCGTTTTATTACTAGATTTATTATAATTAATATTATAAACATATTATAAAATTCTGTTAAAGTTTTATTGAATGTTTGCTCTTGACGGTGATGCTAGCCTGGCTGTGCCTGCTCGCCCTCAGCCTCTCCGGCTTTACCAGTAATTAGTGGATGCATTATAGAAGCAGGAGGCGAACGCCCGAGACTCACGAGGAGGAAATGAGTCGAGATCGTTAGAGTAAACAGTTGCTAATCAGTGAACGACTCTCCTAACTGTGCTTGACAAGCAAAAGGTACACATGTGAGTTCATCTTTTTTATTTTTTTATTTGCCTGAGGTGGGGGTCAAACTCTCTGGCAAACACAGCGTATGCCAGAGCGGCTCCTGGGGGAACCCTGCCCCGTGGTAATGGCCATGGGGGAGCGGCTCCTGGGGGAACCCTGCCCCGTGGTAATGGCCATGGGGGAGCATCAGCTCCTGGGGCCCGGGACCTTAGTGATGGCCATGGGTTAAATCAGGTCAGAACACAGCCAGACCCGTCCTGTACTGGTTCCGTGGCAGTGGGGAAGATTGGCAACCAGGTCCTGTTCACCCTAGTTCCCATCATGGGACTGTTCACCCTAGTTCCCGACAGAGGGTCCTGTTCACCCTAGTTCCCATCACGGGGTCCTGTTCACCCTAGTTCCCATCACGGGGTCCTGTTCACCCTAGTTCCCATCACAGAGAGTTCACCCACAATATTGACCTTTCCAAGTACCACGCGCTGTTGTCTTGCCAAGGATAATGTTAATTATTGTTACAAAACTGTTAACGTCGAAAAGTTTGTTTACACTTGATGGTGAGAGTCTTATCTTGAGACCATTCGTGTACAGAACTGCTTATGGGGCTCGACTCAAGGTTGCACAGAACAAGGTTGAGATTCGACCCAAGGAAACTTAGGGTTCACTTGTGACTATCGTGATACATCACAGTCGGATGAAACCATCCCGCTGCAGAGCTACCAAGCTGTTGTTGTGACCCTCCTGTTGTTCTGGTACTACCAAAGTGGTGTTGTGCCCCTCCTGTTGTTCTGGTACTACCACGGTGGTGTTGTGACCCTCCTGTTGTTCTGGTACTACCAAGCTGTTGTTGTGCCCCTTCTGTTGTTCTGGTACTACCAAGGTGGTGTTGTGACCCTGTTGTTCTGGTACTACCACGGTGGTGTTGTGACCCTTCTGTTGTTCTGGTACTACCAAGGTGGTGTTGTGACCCTTCTGTTGCTCTGGTACTACCACGGTGGTGTTGTGACCCTTCTGTTGTTCTGGTACTACCAAGGTGGTGTTGTGCCCCTCCTGTTGTTCTGGTACTACCAAGGTGTTGTTGTGACCCTTCTGTTGTTCTGGAACTACCACGGTGGTGTTGTGACCCTTCTGTTGTTCTGGCACTACCAAGGTGGTGTTGTGCCCCTCCTGTTGTTCTGGTACTACCAAGGTGTTGTTGTGACCCTTCTGTTGTTCTGGTACTACCACGGTGGTGTTGTGACCCTTCTGTTGTTCTGGCACTACCAAGGTGGTGTTGTGCCCCTCCTGTTGTTCTGGTACTACCAAGGTGTTGTTGTGACCCTTCTGTTGTTCTGGTACTACCACGGTGGTGTTGTGACCCTTCTGTTGTTCTGGTACTACCAAGGTGGTGTTGTGACCCTTCTGTTGTTCTGGTACTACCAAAGTGGTGTTGTAACCCTTCTGTTGTTCTGGTACTACCAAGGTGGTGTTGTGACCCTTCTGTTGTTCTGGTACTACCAAGGTGGTGTTGTGCCCCTTCTGTTGTTCTGGTACTACCAAGGTGGTGTTGTGACCCTTCTGTTGTTCTGGTATTACCACGGTGGTGTTGTGACCCTTCTGTTGTTCTGGTACTACCAAGGTGGTGTTGTAACCCTTCTGTTGTTCTGGTACTACCAAGGTGGTGTTGTGACCCTTCTGTTGTTCTGGTACTACCACGGTGGTGTTGTGACCCTTCTGTTGTTCTGGTACTACCAAGGTGTTGTTGTGACCCTTCTGTTGTTCTGGTACTACCAAGGTGGTGTTGTGCCCCTCCTGTTGTTCTGGTACTACCAAGGTGGTGTTGTGACCCTTCTGTTGTTCTGGCACTACCAAGGTGGTGTTGTGCCCCTCCTGTTGTTCTGGTACTACCAAGGTGGTGTTGTGACCCTTCTGTTGTTCTGGTACTACCAAGGTGGTGTTGTGACCCTTCTGTTGTTCTGGTACTACCAAGGTGGTGTTGTGACCCTCCTGTTGTTCTGGTACTACCACGGTGGTGTTGTGACCCTTCTGTTGTTCTGGTACTACCACGGTGGTGTTGTGACCCTTCTGTTGTTCTGGCACTACCAAGGTGGTGTTGTGCCCCTCCTGTTGTTCTGGTACTACCAAGGTGTTGTTGTGACCCTTCTGTTGTTCTGGTACTACCAAGGTGGTGTTGTGCCCCTCCTGTTGTTCTGGTACTACCAAGGTGTTGTGACCCTTCTGTTGCTCTGGTACTACCACGGTGGTGTTGTGACCCTTCTGTTGTTCTGGTACTACCAAGGTGGTGTTGTGACCCTTCTGTTGTTCTGGTACTACCAAGGTGGTGTTGTGACCCTTCTGTTGTTCTGGTACTACCAAGGTGGTGTTGTGACCCTTCTGTTGTTCTGGTACTACCAAGGTGGTGTTGTGACCCTTCTGTTGTTCTGGTACTACCAAGGTGGTGTTGTGACCCTTCTGTTGTTCTGGTACTACCAAGGTGGTGTTGTGACCCTCCTGTTGTTCTGGTACTACCACGGTGGTGTTGTGACCCTTCTGTTGTTCTGGTACTACCAAGGTGTTGTTGTGACCCTTCTGTTGTTCTGGTACTACCTAGGTGGTGTTGTGACCCTTCTGTTGTTCTGGTACTACCAAGGTGGTGTTGTGCCCCTCCTGTTGTTCTGGTACTACCAAGGTGGTGTTGTGCCCCTCCTGTTGTTCTGGTACTACCAAGGTGGTGTTGTGCCCCTCCTGTTGTTCTGGTACTACCAAGGTGGTGTTGTGCCCCTCCTGTTGTTCTGGTACTACCAAGGTGGTGTTGTGACCCTTCTGTTGTTCTGGTACTACCAAGGTGGTGTTGTGACCCTTCTGTTGTTCTGGTACTACCAAGGTGGTGTTGTGCCCCTCCTGTTGTTCTGGTACTACCAAGGTGGTGTTGTGACCCTTCTGTTGTTCTGGTACTACCAAGGTGTTGTTGTGACCCTTCTGTTGTTCTGGTACTACCTAGGTGGTGTTGTGACCCTTCTGTTGTTCTGGTACTACCAAGGTGGTGTTGTAACCCTCCTGTTGTTCTGGTACTACCAAGGTGGTGTTGTGACCCTTCTGTTGTTCTGGTACTACCAAGGTGGTGTTGTGCCCCTTCTGTTGTTCTGGTACTACCAAGGTGGTGTTGTGCCCCTCCTGTTGTTCTGGTACTACCAAGGTGGTGTTGTGACCCTCCTGTTGTTCTGGTACAGTCGAGGAAAAGTGTCCCTTTACCCCTCAGGTCCTTAGAATATGGAGTGTGACAGCGCCGCATGTATTGATGGAGTTGGAGTTTCTTTTTTATTTAAAAAATACAAAGAATTTACAAAATCAAATCATAACCTAACTTGTACACGCTGCCACACACCACACCCAGAACCTGGGACGATTTATACATGTAAACCAACTAATTTCACAAGTAATAATGCACTCGACACAATAATAACACACTATAATATGACACGATGAGTGCAGACCCGTGTACACACACACACACGCACGCACGCACGCTCCCTCAGGTACACAACCACAAACCATGATCAGAATATTACAAGAAAACGTTATGTAACAAGGGGCACAATACTACCTCCGCACACCGGGGAAGCATTGAACCCGACCAAAGACTCCACGAATCCAACCCCGTACAACTTCTGGGGAGGGAGCCACAGCGTACGGTTCAAGCACAGAGCTCTTCCGGAGCTTAACAATCAAAGCGTCGTCTGCCGACTGCTGCTGTTCCCTCTCCATGACACTCCACAAGCCTCGTTTAGTGTACTGCCAGGCGGTGTACCACTGTCACGAGATACAGGGACACCGTCATCCATCACAGGCACGTCCCCGCCCTCAGGCTCATCACCCGCAGCGGACGGGACCAATGTTGTACACTGCCCCTCCACCATCGGAGGCGGATCGTCTTCCATCCTCCGCCGTAAATCTAGGTCATGCTTGAAAGAACCATCGAAATCCCGACGCTTCAGGCTAAGCGGGCCACCCCCACCAGTTACCATGCAAGCAGCCTCTCTGAACCCAGAACCGCGACCAGGGGACGTTACATCCACTATGCACCTCTGCCGTCCGAGCAGCTGGACGAGCCTCGGAAACACAAGCACTCACCACTCGCTGTGGGTTCCGATCCATTCCAGCCGGCTCGGCACTGGGGCACATCCGTCGGGGAAACGCCCACAACTGTATCCTCCACTCCACCAGAGACAGCAGCCACTGCATCGCTTCCCCCACGGAGCCGTGTGGAACGGGCACGCACGGGCACTTATGGGGAACGACACCTCACCAGAACGTCTGGCAGTCATCTCGGCAGACCAACGATCTCCACCACTGTAGCCTTACCCCCTCCGAGGGCACCACCCAAGATCGGAAGATCCGCTTGCTCTCTCAAAGGAGGAACATCAACATTACTGAACACGTTCAGGCTGTCATATACAAACGGTGCAGGCAGCAGCCATATGCCCAACACGACCACACTTAAAACAGGTCTGAGATTGCCCAGGGTAGAAGAAGCCGATTGTAAGGCCAGTAATCGAAATAGAAAACAATGCATTCCTGTTGAGTGTTCCGTGAAAGTCAGGGAAAGGAGAGAGAGAGAGAGAGAGATTGATCTTAGCCGTCCTGAAGCCATTGTTGAGCCCCATAACTTCTCTGGACGTGTGCCTACACACTCTCCCATACCTGGCAAGTACCCGACGGAGAACATCCTCTGACATCTCGAAAGACGCGTTCTTAATAGCCACATATGTGTATGCCACACTCAAATTCTGCACAGTCACAGCGCCATGACCGTTGCTCAACCGCGCCGCCCAACCCTCATACTAGTCGAGAAAACTCTTGAACAATCCGCTCGAGAAGAACTTCACCACCGCTGTCATCAAGGACGATCTGAAGACCAACTAGATTTTCCAATTTCACCTTCACGACATCAGAGAGCAGCTGACCACGTCCAGATCCACTTGACATGTAAAGGTCAGCCCAGCCGACACCTGTGGCTGGGCTGACACCAGCCTCAGTGGCTGCACGTAAGTCTTCATACCGAGACGGAAAAGTCACCCCATCGGTGGCAAACTAACGCCAGGAAGGGCAACCAGCACTCGTCTAGTGTAAAGAGTAGCCAGGCAACCCGTCCTCAGACCAAGTTCATTCCATCCAGTAGTCGACCCTAAAGATTCATCAATTTTAACATTTTGTTCGTTCAAAACAGAACTTTTCTCAAATATAAATTAATATTATTATAGCATATTGTGCATATTTAGGCACTGGTTAGATTAGGTTAGGTTAGGTGTTTAGGTTCTGTTGGCGATTATTTCAATTTGTAGTAAGTGGGTGAAGCATTTACAGTGTTGTCGTTCGAACAAAATTCGTCATTGAAACACTTGTTCCGGAAGTGTTCGAACGTTATCAGTTGCGAGTCGTGTGTAAACCGTTTTTCATTCATAAACAGGGGGTTTGGTAGGTGCATGGAATCACTTTTGGGTCTTTGTTTGGAGGACGGGCTAAAGCAAAGGCCAAAGTCCATTCCATGCACCCGACAAACCCCAGCTGTTTATGAATGAAAAACGGTTTACACAGGACTCGCCGCTGATTTCGTTCGAACACTTCCGGAACAAGTGCTTCACTGACGAGTTTTGTTTGAACCACAACGTTGTAAATGCTTCACCCTCGTGCAACAAATTCAAATAATCGCCAACAGAACCTAAACACCTAACCTAACCTAACCAGTGCCTAAATATGCACAATATGCTATAATAATATTAATTTATATTTAAGAAAAGTTCTGTTTTGAACGAACAAAATGTTAAAATTGATGAATCTTTAGGGTCGACCGCTGGATGGAATGAACTTGGTCTGAGGACGGGCTGAACCAAGAGCAGAGAGACCTCAAGAACGTCCACTCGACCGTTGGTTGTCACAACACTCATTGGAGTTGTAGTGGGTTAGTTCATGAATAAATAGGCGCATTGTAGAGTCTCATTGGTCAACACACTACTCCCTTGTTTACATAATTCTCTCGGCCATCGAAAGGAAAATAGGAAAGCGCAATTAATAAAAATGAATATGTGTAGATTGGTGAACAAGGGAGATGCCTCTACTCTTGTACTTTAAGAGATTATTGACCTATTGACCAAGAGTTTATTGCGGAACCTGAGACGCATCCTTGACCTCACGGGGAAAGACCACGTCATCAACAACGCAGTACTCGAGAGAACAGGAGTCCCTTCAGTGTTCACTCTCCTGAAGCAGAGACGATATTTACGATATTTTATAATATTTACACATGAAGGTATAAATATTATAACATGTTTGTTACTGAAGAAAAAACAGAATAAACTGAGCCAATTTCATTTAAGTGGAGAATGAAACAGAACACCCAATACATTGTAACTGAAACGTAAGAGTGAACCGTCACGTATATTCATGTTTCCTAAAGAATAATATTGCCAGAATTTTGTCTGTTTCATTTAGTTATAATAATATTTGTGAAGCATGTTCCATGTTAGCATGAATGTTCCGGTGGATCTGCACGAAGGTGGTCCATTGCTTTTATTACACTGGAAACACAAAAGAGAAAAATATGGATGGGGACTACTGTGCCGCCTTCCATCTGCTTCACTGAGGGTTCAGAGTTGGTGAGGTTATAACTGCTGTTGATATTTAGTAAGCCTATAAGGATGACACTTAAACAATAGATGTCGCTGCCGAACACACCAGTAGTACATATAAATGAAATATATAAATATATTTGATCTCTAAAAATACCAATTGTTTCTGGCAATCTAAAGCTTTTTAGATCTCACAACGTGAACAAGTCTTAGATATAGATGGAATCCGAGACTTATAAAATATTGACTAATATGGAGGATATTGATCCAGATACTTCTTCTAAAGGTGAGATGTAACACTGACAAGGAACAACGGATTCAAGCTTAACAAGCCACAATGAAGTACAGTAAACAGGAGATGGTTTTCCCCCATAAGATTATTTACTCATGGAACCGCCTACCCGTTGAATCTGTAAATGTCAAAACATTGCCGAATTGTAAGATACAGTTTGACAAAAATCCTCAGGATAAATGGGGGGGGGGGATCTTTGACAAGCTGCCGGCTTCCTGTTCTCGTCGAGATCACAAGAATACTAGTGGCCTTCAGGTAAATCAGGTATACCTTTCCACCCAAGTGCCGAAGCCTTCTCTTCTACCGTGTTGGTGAACCAGACGAGGACGCAATATGTATTGTTTGGTCACTAGTGTTGTAAACCTTTCATGAAGCAAACTACTTTTTAGTTTAAGATTTATCATATGGCAATGTATGTTGAGTATACAGTCATCTTCACATGACAACAAATTATTCACGTAATATGATTGAATGTTTCACATGTTTGGTGTATTTGTAATATAGTGTGTTTGGCTCTCTCTCTCTCTCTCTCTCTCTCTCTCTCTCTCTCTCTCTCTCTCTCTCTCTCTCTCTCTCTCTCTCTCTCTCTCTCTCTCTCTCTCTCTCTCTCTCTCTTTCTCTCTCTCTGTCTCTTTCTCTCTCTCTGTCTCTTTCTCTCTCTCTGTCTCTTTCTCTCTCTCTGTCTCTTTCTCTCTCTCTCTGTCTCTTTCTCTCTCTCTGTGTCTCTTTCTCTCTCTCTGTGTCTCTTTCTCTCTCTCTGTGTCTCTTTCTCTCTCTCTGTGTCTCTTTCTCTCTCTCTGTGTCTCTTTCTCTCTCTCTGTGTCTCTTTCTCTCTCTCTGTCTCTTTCTCTCTCTCTCTCTGTCTCTTTCTCTCTCTCTCTTTCTTTCTCCCTTTCTCTTTCTCTCTCTCTTTCTTTCTCTCTTTCTCTCTCTCTTTCTCTCTCTCTTCTCTCTCTCTCTTTCTTTCTCTCTTTCTCTTTCTCTCTCTCTTTCTTTCTCTCTTTCTCTCTCTCTCTTCTCTCTCTCTTTCTCTCTCTCTTTCTCTCTCTCTTTCTCTCTCTCTTTCTCTCTCTCTCTTTCTCTCTCTCTTTCTCTTTTTCTCTTTCTCTCTCTCTCTTTCTCTCTCTCTTTCTCTCTCTCTTTCTCTCTCTCTTTCTCTCTCTCTTTCTCTCTCTTTCTCTTTCTCTCTCTCTTTCTCTCTCTCTCTCTCTCTTTCTCTCTCTCTCTCTCTCTTTCTCTCTCTCTCTCTCTCTCTCTCTCTCTCTCTCTCTCTCTCTCTCTCTCTCTCTCTCTCTCTCTCTCCCCCCGTCACGTAATTATTTAGTCAACTATATATACTATTATGTAATGTATTTAATTACCGAATTAATTAATTTATTAATAGTTGTTTTTAGGAATCAAATACAAGTCACATAGTCCCTATTCATTACACATTGTCTTCCAGATGTCAGTAATCTTGAATTATAATGAATTATAATACTTCCCTATGCTCCTGTCAATTTCTAATATTGATGTGTAATTAGTTCTTGATACTATTATTAGTTTAGTGTATATCAACTTTATTAAAAATATGTAAATATTTCCAAAACCATTTTAAATTGAACTGACGTTTTGTGTATGACACTTCATCATCTGCCTCAAGAGTCAATACGTAACATTATTATACGGTATAAGGGTCAATAAACTCGTACGGTATATCATTTACACGAAGGGTCAATAAACTCGTAAGCACACATGTACGGCCATCTCCCTTGGTCATAAATCGAAATATATTAATTTTTATTCATTGTGCTTGTCTATTTTCCTTTTAGATGGCAAAGAATTGTGTAAACAAGTGAACAATTGGGTGATGTTTTGACCAATGGACACTATCAATAGCTACTAGGGATGGATAGCACCTATAAATCTACTATGGGGGGATAGTACCTATAAAGCTACTAATGGATGGATAGTGCCTATAAATCTAGTAATGGATGGATAGTACCTATAAACTTACTATGGGTGGATGTTGCCTGTAAGT